ACCCGCGTGATCCATAAACTTTGTAAATTTTTGAATCATTAATTTTTTTTTTTAAATCGCCGTGGAAATAAAACTTCTCTGGGGGTTCCATCATCTTCCCAATGTTTTTTTTTATATCAGAATAATTTTTTGTTAAACAACTTCATTTTTTTTCACTAAAAACACATTTTCAAACGAATTTTTATTGAGCTAAATTTTTTCAACAATAAAATTTTTTCAATATTCAATTTGTAAAAATATCTCTCAAATTTACCTTTTAAATTCACTCGTCACCGAGATAATTCCACAATTTAATGTTCATTTTTTATTAATAATAATCTTTTATTTCTCTCAATCGCTTTGTCGGCTCTCGGCGTAACCCGCGTGATCCATAAACTTTGTAAATTTTTGAATCATTAATTTTTTTTTTTAAATCGCCGTGGAAATAAAACTTCTCTGGGGGTTCCATCATCTTCCCAATGTTTTTTTTTATATCAGAATAATTTTTTGTTAAACACCTTCATTTTTTTCCACTAAAAAACACATTTTCAAACGAATTTTTATTGAGATAAATTTTTCCAACAATAAAATTTTTTCAATATTCAATTTGTAAAAATATCTCTCAAATATACCTTTTAAATTCACTCGTCACCGAGATAATTCCACGATTTAATGTTCATTTTTTATTAATAATAATCTTTGATTTCTCTCAATCGCTTTATCGGCTCTCGGCGTAACCCGCGTGATCTCTAAACTTTCTAAATTTTTTAATCATTAATTTTCTACAAAATCTCATGAAAATAAAACCCAATGTGTCTTTTCACATCAGAATAATTCTTTAGAACAAAATTTTTCATCCAAATTTCTACTCAACCGTCTCATTTCTCACTAATTGATTATTCGGCCATTATATAAATTTTTTAGGATTCAATTCTAAAAAACATCTCTTAAATTTACCCTTGTGGAGTTGATAAATTTAAAAATTCATTCATTACCAAGGTAATTCCGCAAATAAACGTTCATTTTCAATTAATAATTTTCTATTCTCCCAATTAACTTCCATTCATTCGAACTTCCGCTCGTTATACCCCCAAGATTCCATTCCACGATTTGGTGTGTGTCCACTGGTTAAACTTGACGTGACACATACAAGACAGAGGATCGATCATGGGTTAAGAGGGGCTGGGGGGGCTTTCGTAAGAGAGTATGTGGCCAGACCGCAGAAAATGTCTGACTCTTGACGCGATTGGTATTTATTTATTGCATCAGACCAACGTCACTCAATCCGATCATGTTCTCGCACGGCGTCTCGTCGTTAAAGTTAACAAAACACGCAGAGAAAAAGATTATCAACGGTGGAAAACAATCCCAGGAGCTCGACGAAATACGCCATTTTGTTTTTTCTTCGCGGAATTCTTGTGCTTGACTGAGAAGATAGAGAAATTTCAGGTTTTAACCACTGATTATAAACCTTTTCATCTTTTTTTATTGTTGTATTAGGGGGCTATGCTCGATTCTGACCGTTGTGACCCTTAATCTGACCCTCGCGACCCTCATTATAACCCTCGTGGCCCATATTTGACCCTTAATTTTGGAGTCTTTATTTCGAGCACCAAATTTTCATCACTAGAATTCGATTTGGATTTTATAATATAGAGACCCGTATTTTTAACGCCCCTTCTTTTACCCTTTTTTCTCAGTTTTTGACCCTCATGACCATTAATCTGACCCTTGTTACCCTTATTTGGATCCTTACTCTGACCCATATAACATTTAAACTGACTCTTGTGACCCTTACTCTGTCCCTTATGATTCTTAATCTGACCCTTGTCAGCTTTATTCCGATCCTCATGACCCTTATTAATCTGGTCCGTGTGACCCCTTATTTGGATCCTTAATCTGACCCATATAACCCTTAAACTGACTCTTGTGATCCTTATTCTGTCCCTTATGATTCTTAATCTGACCCTTGTGAGCCTTATTCGGATCCTCATGACCCTTATTCTGATCCTCGTGACTCTTATTAATCTGGTTCGTGCGACCCTTATTTAGCCCCTTAATCTGACCCTTGCTACCCTCATTTGGATCCTTAATCTGACCTTTGTGACCCTTAATCTGATCCTTGTGACCCTTAATCTGACCTTTTTTCCCCTTATTTGGATCCTTAATCCGACCCATATGACCCTTAAACTGACTCTTGTGATTCTTATTCTGTCCCTTATGATTCTTAATCTGACCCTTGTGAGCCTTATTCTGATCCTCATGACCCTTATTCTGATCCTCGTGACCCTTATTAATCTGATTCGTGCGACCCTTATTTAGCCCCTTAATCTGACCCTTGCTACCCTCATTTGAATCCTTAATCTGACCTTTGTGACCCTTAATCTGACCTTTGTGACCTTTAATCTGATCCTTGTGACCCTTAATCTGACCTTTTTTCCCCTTATTTGGATCCTTAATCCGACCCATATGACCCTTAAACTGACTCTTGTGATCCTTATTCTGTCCCTTATGATTCTTAATCTGATCCTTGTGACCCTTATTCTGATCCTCGTGACCCTTATTAATGTGATCCGTGTGACCCTTATTTAGCCCCTTAATCTGACCCTTGTGACCCTTATTCTGACTTTCGCGACTCTTATTCTGTCCCTCATCATCCTCATTCTGATCCTCGTGACCCTTATGACCCTTATACCTCTTCTTTTTCAACTCTTAATTTCCAATACCAAATTTTTATCTCCAGAAGTTGATTTGAATTTTTAGAATATATTCCTGTGTATTATAATTGTTTGTTGTCCATAACATTGAATTATAGTTAATAATTTTTTAGTATTTCATAATATTAGAAATTTCTTACGAAACTTGTTTGTTAATTATCTCATAATTCAATTAATTAAAGAGGTTGTCAAGTGCCAGTTTAAATACAGAAAGTTTCAGCGAAATGTCCCATTGTCCCGTCATTAAAAAACCATAAAATGTACCAAATACCCTTAAGTCATCACGTGCCATCAGATACCGATACTCTGGAATGCACTTTGCATGCCGCCTTGGCACGACCGCCGGATTCATGTAACAGTACTGCCTCCTTAAAAATCCAAAAAACAAAGAAACTCACCGTCGGATAAACTCCCAAATTGAATGTCGACTCACGTCCTGTGGACACTATTTTTTTTCTCTATCCTTTCCCTCAATTCGAGTCACAGTCATGCAATTAAACCGTCGGCAATGACGACATTTCTATTTTTTCGGAATTATCATTTCGTTTTTTTGACAGAAACATAATCTAATTTTTTTAAACTAATTATGCACGTTTTTATTCAACAATGGAGCTGAGAATCCTTTTCCTCGTTTCTAATATAAACAATAATGACATTTTTATGAAAATAATAATACGTTTCAATTTTTTTAATGAATTAATCTGGATTTTTCGAAGATTTTATTCTTAAGAAGTGTTAAAATATTTTCAATTCAAGTGGATAAAAACACGTGGGGAATTGCTTTCGTCACAACACAGTCAGTATTTTTATTAAAAAATTGGCAATTTACTTCCAAATTTCTATGACGATGTATTTTAAATTGAATTCAATGATTTATTGAATTCAGCATTGCTCCAATGTTGACAGCCAGCTATCTCTAAAAAGAAAAGTATGAGCAATATCTCGAATCGAAAATGAGAACTCGAACATGGCGCATATCTCGAACCAACGGAGAAAGTAAAGGGGTTTTCATGAGTACAATCGCCTTGCGTCGAATTTTCATGAAGCCCGCCTAAGAAACAAAAGAGAATTGAATACCATTCTATGAAACATGAGTAAACGAATCATAACTGTCCGAATCATTTAGGTCAGAGGAAAATAGAATAATTCAACTTTCTTAATATTGCGTTTACTAAGGTTTTCTTCGAACAAAGTTGATTAGTTGATTAGAATTAATAGCTAAAATTATGAGATTATCTCACATTTTTGACCTTAAGGATAGGAGAATCCGAATGCAATATAGTGAAAATGATGATCGATTTTTTCACTTTGAACAAATAATATTAATATCCAAATTCAAAATTTNAACTAAAAATTGATAACAGTATGGACACGCACTTTTACCGGAGTATCAACAAACATTGAATTCCAGAAATTCACACTCTAAAGTGTGTTCTGAAGGAATTGAATTGTAATTATGATTAAAATCTTATTCAGTGAGCATAGGAATTAGAACATGAGCAAATCATTTATTGTGATATGAAAATTTAGCAGCTGACAAATTGGGACATATGATTCTCATCGGTCGTATTGCTTTTTGCAATGAGAATGATTATGAACAATTCAGTGCCGTAGTCGTAAAAGGAGATAAGTCGATTTTGACTATTGACCAGTTTTCAATCCATATCTCGGAATCTAAGGGAGATAGCAAAGTTTTTGTTATAACCTCTTTTGTGGGGCTGATAGAGTGCTACAATAAATGTAATTACGAAAATTCCGCCATCTCCCTTAGATTCGGAAATATTCCTCAAAAACTGGGTGATGAGTCGACTTATCTCAGTTTACCACTTCACTACTGAATTAATTGAAAAATAACTGGTAAAAGGGCACAATTCGGAAGCAAAAAAATAGAGAAGTATCATTGATAAATAACTAATAACAGTACCATTACAATTATCAATTTTGTAATTAAAGATGTAATTAAAAAACAACGGGAAAAATCGAATGAACCTAAATGCTAAAAATCGGAAAAAAAACCGAATCCGAAACATGGCAATCCCGCTTGTTCCTCATTCCAAGTCACCTCACTCCTAATTAAATTGTACATCGAGACACAAGAGATGAAAAAAAATGAAATGAAACCGCGAGCCTAGATCGTCAGACGTGCCACCATTTTTGGAAGGCTGGAGCGCCCCATGTCGTCTTGTCATTGCCTGCTAAATAAAACAACGAGTTTCACGATTGGATGTATTCCATTGGGACGAGTTTGGAAGTGATATAGAGGTGATAAAAAATTGTTGGCAAATTGTTTTTTTCCTTTTTCAGAGGCAGTTCACGCTGATACTCCAGGCGAGAGACGAGGGGAGTAGGGGAGTCGTTGAGGAGACGAGCTACAGTGGTATTGTTCTGCCTGGACCCACGTGGCACACCCTCAATCATCAGGGGAGAAATGCACATCTTGCTTATCGGGTCAGGGTGCAGTGCGCCGATCACTATTATAACGCAACGTGCACAAAATTCTGCAGACCCAGGGACGATATTTTCGGACATTATACGTGCGATGAGAACGGCGACAAAGTGTGTATTCAGGGGTGGAGGGGCGCCGATTGCGAAACTGGTGAGTTTTATTTTTCATGATTTTTTGGTTTTATTTCGGGGGATTATTTATTATTTGGGAATTATTTATTTGGGGATTATTCATTTTGGGGGTTATGGGGAGACAGCCAGGGACATTTGAGGCTGAAAACACAATATGACGATCGATTTTAATCAATTAGTTCTCGAGATATTCAATCTCAAAGTTTTTGGTCATTAATTAAATTTTTAATTATCTCGGGAACTGATTGAGTTAGAGGGGTTTATGACCAGTGTTTGAAGCCGGGAATTTCTCAATCTTTCCGATGGTAAACATCGGAACGCAAGACATTTGGAATAAATAAATTGAGAAAAGACAGCCCTATAAATTTTTAAGAAATTTTTTTCAAAAATCAGAAGAAGTCTTGCGTTTTTATTAATTTGAAACGTGAAATTCCTCAACTTTCAAATGAGAAATTCGAAATAAAATTATTTAATTCCGCCAAATTACTCAATTTTTCATGAATCTTTGTTTTCATTCCTGGAAATTTTGGGGGTCATGGGTGAATAGCTAGGGAAATTTGAGGCTGAAAACACAATATGACGATCGATTTTAATCAATTAGTTCTCGAGATATTCAATCTCAAAGTTTTTGGTCATTAATTAAATTTTTAATTATCTCGGGAACTGATTGAGTTAGAGGGGTTTATGACCAGTGTTTGAAGCCGGGAATTTCTCAATCTTTCCGATGGTAAACATCGGAACGCAAGACATTTGGAATAAATAAATTGAGAAAAGACAGCCCTATAAATTTTTAAGAAATTTTTTTCAAAAATCAGAAGAAGTCTTGCGTTTTTATTAATTTGAAACGTGAAATTCCTCAACTTTCAAATGAGAAATTCGAAATAAAATTATTTAATTCCGCCAAATTACTCAATTTTTCATGAATCTTTGTTTTCATTCCTGGAAATTTTGGGGGTCATGGGTGAATAGCTAGGGAAATTTGAGGCTGAAAACACAATATGACGATCGATTTTAATCAATTAGTTCTCGAGATATTCAATCTCAAAGTTTTTGGTCATTAATTAAATTTTTAATTATCTCGGGAACTGATTGAGTTAGAGGGGTTTATGACCAGTGTTTGAAGCTGGAAATTTCTCAATCTTTCCGATGGTAAATATCTCAAGACATTTGGAATAAATAAATTAAGAAAAGACTGCCCTAAAAATTTGTAATAATTTTTTTTCAAAAATCAGAAGAAGTCTTGCGTGTTTATTAATTTGAAACGTGAAATTCCTCAACTTTCAAATGAGAAATTCGAAATAAAATTATTTAATTCCGCCAAATTACTCAATTTTTCATGAATCTTTGTTTTCATTCCTGGGGATTTTGGGGTGATGGGTGAATAGCTAGGGAAATTTGAGGCTGAAAACACAATATGACGATCAATTTTAATCAATTAGTTCTCGAGATATTCAATCTCAAAGTTTTTGGTCATTAATTAAATTTTTAATTATCTCGGGAACTGATTGAGTTAGAGGGGTTTATGACCAGTGTTTGAAGCTGGAAATTTCTCAATCTTTCCGATGGTAAATATCTCAAGACATTTGGAATAAATAAATTAAGAAAAGACTGCCCTAAAAATTTTTAATAAATTTTTTTCAAGACTCAGAAAAAGTCCTGTGTTTTCATCAATTTGCAACTTCAATTTTCTCAATATTAAAACGATTAATCCGCAATAAAATTATTTGATTCCCCCTAAATAACTCAATTCCCCTAGATTTCGCATGTAAAATAATCGAGACCTTTTTAATCGCCCCGAGGAAATTTCCCAGCGTGTCCTTTCAAACTCGTACACGTGAAATGATTCCGAGTTAATACCACACGAGGAATAGACATCCTCACGCGAGAAGAGAGTGCCTGGTATCAGATGCACCACTCACCCACACACACATACATCATGAACTAAACTTGCATGCCGAGAAAACAGGCTCTAAAATGTTTTTCTTTTTTTTCACTTTGTCATCGTAGTAAAGGTCGACGGTGAAATTCACTCTGTGTACGACTTCACTTTATATTTCCCTCCATTCTAACCAGCATTTCTTATTCGAAAATTGAGCATATAACCTCGGCGCAAAATGTTTTCTGCAGTTTCACCGTCATAACCAGTGAGAATAGTAACTCCTGGTGTAGCTGGAGGGGAATCCCGGGTTTCGATTTAGAGGAGTCGTGAATAGCAGATAAAGATCGTATTTCAGAGCATTACAATTCATTCTCCACACAATGATGGGGAGATTTTGAATTTGTTGGAGATGAGGATTTTGGAGTTTACGAGTAGAAAGTCAAAAATGCTTAAGAGGAGACTACTATGAGTTTTAAAAGTTGCGGACTATTGGAGTGAGATTTCTCATGCGTTGAAGATCAAAATTTGATACTCAAAATTAAGACTCCACAATTAAGGGTGACACGATTCAAAATAAGGGTCACGAGGGTCAAAAAATTGTCATGAGGGTCAGAATAAGGGTCATAAGGGTTGGAATAAGGGTCCCGAGGTTCAAAATCAGGCTCACAAGTATGAAAACAATGGTCACGAGGTCAAAATAGGGCGCACGAGGGTCAGATTAAGGGTTACAAGGTTCAGTTTGAAGGTCTCGAGGGTCAAAAAAGGGTCATGAGGGTCAGAACAAAGGTCATAACGGTTAGATAACGGTCATGAGGTTCAAAATCAGGCTCATAAGGGTCAAAATAAGGGTCACGAGGTCAAAATAGAGCGCACGAGGGTCAGATTAAGGGTTACAAGGTTCAGTTTGAAGGTCCCGAGGGTCAAAAAAGGGTCATGAGGGTCAGAACAAAGGTCATAACGGTTAGATAACGCTCATGAGGTTCAAAATCAGACTCATAAGGATCAAAATAAGGGCCACGAGGTCAAAATAGGGCGCACGAGGGTCAAATTAAGGGTTCCAAGGTTCAGTTTAAAGATCATGAGGGTCAGAATAAGGGTCATAACGGTTAGATAACGGTCATGAGGTTCAAAATCAGGCTCATAAGGGTCAAAATAAGGATCACGAGGTCAAAATAGAGCGCACGAGAGTCAGATTAAGGGTTACAAGATTCAGTTTAAGGGTCACGAGGGGCAGAATAAAGGTTACGATGATGAAATGAAGCGTCACAGGGCTCAGATTAAGGGTCACGAGGGTCAGAATACAGGTCATGAGCGTCAGAATGAGGGTCACAAGGGTAAGATTAAGCGCCACAAGGGTCAGATTAAGAGTCATATGAGTTAGATTTAGTCTCACGAGGGATGCAATGAGGGCCACGAGGGTCAGATTAAGGGTTGCAAGGGTCCGGTTAAGGGTCATATGGGTTAGATTAAGGCTCACGAGGGCCTGAGCACCTCGAGGGTCAGATTAACGGTCACAAGGTTCAGTTTAAGGGTCACAGGGCTCAGATTAATGGTCATGAGGGTCGGGATGAGGGTCCCGAGGGTCAGTTTAAGATTAAGGGTCAGTTTAAGGGTCACGAGGGTCAGAATAAGGGTCACAACGGTCAAAATAAAGACGATTGTTGTATAAGTCCCCAGTTCCACATAATTGATAAAAATTTCCTAAAGCAACCCTATTTTCCGGTTCGAAATAGACCACAAAAATTTGATTCAATTCAAATTTTCATTTGCGAGCAACTAAATTTTCCATCGAAATAATAGTCGGATAATCGCATTAAAAAATATCCCAAGAAACGCGAGATCATTCAATTAAACCCATGACCTATTCTCCGCCGAGAACCTGCCAATGTCAATCAATATAATCTCCACTAATATTTCCACGGCCATGATGTCACCTTTGTTATCCTCCCAGGTATCTCAGATGACAGAGAATGTCCTGTGTGTCCTTCACCTGGGTGAACGTTATAATACTCGCAGACGTTAAATGAGCGCAATCAAGTGACGTCTCAACCTCTTATATTTATACATTGCACAACGGTAGTCAGCCAGAGGCACTCTCCCCGGTCTATGCGGCGTGAGAAAAAATTCAAATACCCCTTGAGTGACCTTTTTGCGTCGGATTTGCTGGTGTATGAGGTTAAATTAACAATTTCGAGAGGCGCAGTCACAGAAACTCATTCATTATGTCAAAATCAATAAATTTGGAAATTCAAACATGATCAATTATATTTGCTTAATTCAATTGTCGTGAGACGTTCATCATTAAAAAGATCGGAAAATTTCCGCTTCCAAACACTCGTCATGAACCCCTGCAGCTCAATTAGCCCCTGAGATAATTAATGCTTAATTTCATCAACAAAAACTTTGAGTTTAAATATCTCAGGAACTAATGAATTGAAATCGATCGTCATATTGAGTTTTCAACCTCAAATTTCCCTGGCTTTCTAATTAAATTATTTTTATTCACCTCCGATCATTTTCGAATTCTTCGGTTTTGTGGAAAGACTGAGATTGATGTGATTATTCTCTATTTGTTATTCTATTCCCCACAAAATCTATTCTATTCCCTCCAAAAAGTTATAAGAATCAAAACATTATGAAATATGAGTCATAAAAAACTGTTAAGTTGATTGTTTGTTATTAATTTTTTTATTTCAATTGTCGTGAGACCTTCATCATTAAAAAGATCGGAAAATTTCCGCTTCCAAACACTGGTCATGAACTCCTGCAGCTCAATTAGCCCCTGAGATAATTAATGCTTAATTTCATCAACAAAAACTTTGAGTTTAAATGTCTCAAGAACTAATGAATTGAAATTGATCGTCATATTGATTTTTCAACCTCAAATTTCCCTGGCTTTCTAATTAAATTATTTTTATTCACCTCCGATCATTTTCGAATTCTTCGGTTTTGCGGAAAGACTGAGATTGATGTGATTATTCTCTATTTGTTATTCTATTCCCCACAAAATCTATTCTATTCCCTCCAAAAAGTTATAAGAATCAAAACATTATGAAATATGAGTCATAAAAAACTGTTAAGTTGATTGTTTGTTATTAATTTTTTTATTTCAATTGTCGTGAGACCTTCATCATTAAAAAGATCGGAAAATTTCCGCTTCCAAACACTCGTCATGAACCCCTGCAGCTCAATTAGCCCCTGAGATAATTAATGCTTAATTTCATCAACAAAAACTTTGAGTTTAAATATCTCAAGAACTCATGGATTGAAATCGATTGTCATATTGAGTTTTCAACCTCAAATTTCCCTGGCTTTCTAATTAAATTATTTTTATTCACCTCCAATCATTTTCGAATTCTTCGGTTTTGTGGAAAGACTGAGATTGATGTGATTATTCTCTATTTGTTTTTCTATTCCCTTAAAAATCAATCATTACCGAGATATTCTCGTTGTTGACGAGATGGGAAAGTCGCCTGCTCTGTCCAGTTGAATTATAAAATTAATAATAAAAAAACCATGATTTCGATTCATGACTATGACGAACGGTTGACTGGTGGTCGTTTAACGGAGGTCGCTCGTAAAATACACGAATTATCTCGATGTTGCGTACGACTCAATGGACGGGGATAAGAGATGGTACATGTCGTACGATCTCCAACAAAAGGTATAGGCAAAGCCGGTTGGTTATCGTGCCGGCTTGTCGATGTTACAATAGAGTCTCGCGGGAGTTTTAATAATACAAAATGACCGAGGATCTCTTTCTTCGGGGCTGAGACTAATCGTTACTTCCGTCTCGAGTGGTTAACGACGATGAGATACTCGGTAGTTTCATTAATCGAGCGGTTAGCCGGTTCGATAAAAATCGTGATGGGGAGCTGGGTGAACTATGCTGAGAAAAATATATAATTCAACATTTACATCCAAATTTCACTATATTGAGAACCTTTAATTATGCCTTCTTGCCAAAAAGCAATACGAACGATGAGAATCATATGTCCCAATTCATCAGCTGTTACATTGTCATATTACAATAAATGATTTGCTCATGTTCTAATTCCTATCCTAACTGAATAAGATTTTAATCATAATTACAATTCAATTCCTTCTAGAACAGACTTTAGAGTGTGAATTTCTGGAATTCAATGTTTGTTGAAACTCTGGAAAAAGTGCGTGCCCACACTGTTATCAATTTTTAGTGAGTTCACACGGTAATTCAGTTAATCTGTTGTTCATCTCATCAATATAATTCCGTGCTTAGAATATTGTCATCTCGTGTTATCAGCACCAAATTAAAAATTGAAACTTCATTTGGAATATTGAGTCGCAGCTTCTTTTTATTCATATCAGAAATTTTGTATTTGGATATTAATATTATTTGTTCAAAGTGAAAAAATCGATCATCATTTTCACTATATTGCATTCAGATTCTCCTATCCTTGACGTCAAAAATGTGAGACAATCTCATAATTCTAACTGTTAATTCTAATCAACTTTGTTCGAAGAAAACCTTAGTGCACGCGATATTAAGAAAGTTGAATTATTCTATTTTCCTCTGACTTAAATGATTTGGAAAATTATGATTCGTTTATTCATATTCATATTTAAAAACCCCCACACTCAATGAGTCCCTGAAATAATTAGTGCTTAATTTCAACAACAAAAACTTTGATTTTAAATATCTGAAGAACTAATGTATTAAAATCAATCGTTATATTGTATTTTCAACCTCAAATTTCCCTGGCTTTCCAATTAAATTATTTTTATCCACCTCCAATCGTTTCCCAATTTTTCGTTATTGCTGAAAAATTGACTTTTAGGTGATTATTTCATATTTACCATTCCATTCCTTCCAAAATCAATAATTACCAAAAAATCTTCCTTTATTACCGAATTATAAAATGAATTTTAAAAAACCATCACTTGAAAATTTTCCCAAAATACACGTTCCCGTGTGGATTTATATCATTCCCACAATTTCCAAAATGAGAAACCCTTTTCCATTTGTCATTCCGGCCCATTCGATTCCGCTGCGAACGTCAAAATTCCCATGATAAATCGTGCGTATCACCCTGATTGGCTCGATTCAACATCTCAGAAACGAATAAATGATAAAAAACGAACGATAACCCGGTGGACAAAGCGGCATCATCTCCGTGTGCGGCATCAGTCTCCTCTCCCGCGTCATTTGGCTGCCTTGGAGTTACACGCTGCAGTCGTTCGTATAAATATCCGTAAATGTCTGTTGTCCACGGTAAATACGATGGGGGCAGGCTATGGCTATTAATCAAATGATGCTGCAGGCCATCACACATACAACTGGCGGATGATGTAACGGTAAAAAGTCTTGCCTCCTTCAACGTTTGCAATTGGTTTTATCACATTTTGTGGTTGATTTTTTTTTCCACACGGTTCTAATGATATTTACGTCTTTTTACAATGACTAACGTTTCACGGCCACCGAGTTATCGAGAGAAACAGGATTCTGCGGCTGATCTCATGGGTTTTGCGAAATTTCTGAATGATGAGATGTTTTATTGCCGGTGAGAGGAGATTCTATCGGAATTTATTCATCGACTGGCTTTCCCTGTTGATAATGATCATGTCGATATTTTCCGATGGGTGTCTGAGATTTTTTTTGTGACATTTGTCTTCTTGCATTTGTTTTCTTTTTCATGAGTTCATGTTTTGGACTCTATTCAGCTGTAGGCATAAATCGGAGCCAATTAATTTACGTTTAATTACTTTTAAAATAATTTGAAAGGAATTAATTTTTCATAATTTAATTTTAACCACATATGACCCCCATAATCTTTATTCTGACCCTTAATCTGGCTGTGTAACCCTTAATCTGTTTCTCACGACCCTTAATCTGACCCTCGTGACTCTTAATCTATCCCTCGTGACCCTTATTTTGACCCTTATGACTCTTAATCTAACCTTGTGACCCTTAATCTCACCCTTGTGGCTCTTAATTCGACCCTCGTGACCCTTATTTTGACCCTGATGGCTCTTAATCTGACCTTGTGACCCTTAATCTGACCCCTATAATCCTTAAACCACCCCTCATGATTTTTATTCTGACCCTCATGACCATTAATTTGAACTTCGTGACCCTTATTTTCACCCTTGTGACCCTTAAATGTGGAGTCTTAATTTCGAGTACCGAATTTTTATCACCAGAAGTCATTTTTGATTTTTATAATATAGAGAGATATGTAATAGCTAAACTAAGCGGCAAAAAAAGGACAGATTTCTCATTTTTTGAGTGAAGGGTTATATAGATTAGATGGAAAAATTTCCGACTCCAAATGCTAGTCACAAACTATTGTAAACGCAATAGGTGCGGAGATAATGAGAAGAAAGATTTCTCAAAAATTTTCAAAATTCCTCAAATTTTGGATTTTTAGGTATTTTTTGTTTTTATGCAAACACATTTTTTTACATTCTTTCCTTAATTGAAATTGATAATGTCGTGCTTTCAGAAGTGAGATAATTTTTGTTCAGCTTGGATAACATCTGAATTATGGTAATTTTATGTAAACAATAATTACGTCTTTAAAATAATTACACGTCTGTAATTATGGGAGTAATTATACACCGCATTGTTCACCGCCTTCCCACATTCTAAACACTATAAAAACAATTACCATGTGACTGACTTTGTAATTATCCGTTTTACCCCGTAAAAGTGAGGTTTTCCATATGAATATTTTTGACTTCGGAAATCGTGATTTTGGGGTTGACCGATCGAAAGCCAGAGAAATTTTCGGTTGAGAACTCTGTGTGACGATCTTTATCAAAATTTTCATTAACATTTTTTTTCAATTTTTTAAAAATAATCAGCTAAAAAATGAATTTATATTTCGATACGACGAGACGGAATTTTGACGAGTGTGAAGTTGGCGGTCCGAGACGAAGCCGAGGGCTGCTAATCACACGAACTGAAAATTCCCGTCTTACCTGTCGAACTAGTATATTTCGTTACGAGTGCGGAAAAGTGTTTTTTGGCTCGTGGGAGGTTTATAGCACGAGCCGAAGGCGAGAAACACTTTTCCCACGAGTATCGAACAATATTTTTCATCACGCTGTGACGAAAAGTGAACTTTTCGGCACGCTCCGAGTGCCTAAAAGTCCAATTTCCGCCACATTGTGATGAAAAATATTGTTCGTAACTCGTGAAAAAATGTTTTTTAGCTCGTGGGATTATATCACTCGCCTTCGGNGGTGACAGGCCGCCATTTGTCACCGTAAATCAGATACATTTTTCAATGCCTTGTTATTCAACTTATTCTGAATATAAATTGAAAATGCTCTGCTCTACGCTGTGCGAAAAAACAACTTTTTAGGCACGCTTTGCGTGCCTAAAACGTCTCTTTTCCACACATTTTGATGAAATAGTATATTTTGTTACGAGTGCGGAAAAGTGTTTTTTGGCTCGTGGGAGGTTTATAGCACGAGCCGAAGGCGAGAAACACTTTTCCCACGAGTATCGAACAATATTTTTCATCACGCTGTGACGAAAAGTGAACTTTTCGGCACGCTCCGAGTGCCTAAAAGTCCAATTTCCGCCACATTGTGATGAAAAATATTGTTCGTAACTCGTGAAAAAATGTTTTTTAGCTCGTGGGATTATATCACTCGCCTTCGGCTCGTGATATAAACCTCTCACTCGCCAAAAAACACTTTTTTGCACTCGTTACGAAATATACTATTTCATCACAATGTGTGGAAAAGGGACGTTTTAGGCACGCAAAGCGTGCCTAAAAAGTTACTTTTTCGCACAGCGTGATGAAAATACTATTTCGGCCTAGAACGAAATATACTATTTCGTCACAAGGCCGAAAAAAACTTTTCCGACGAGTGTGAGGGTTGAATCAATTTTTCTTCACAATGTCCGTGAACGGCGTTTCACACTTTCGTGCCGCACCCCACAATTTAATCTCTCTCTCTTCCAGCGGTCTGCAAGGAGGGTTGTCACCCGATTCACGGTCACTGCAACGTCTCCGGCGAATGTAAATGCCGTCACGGCTGGAGGGGTGAGCTGTGCGACCAGTGCACCCCCTACCCCGGCTGCAAGCACGGCTACTGCAACGGCTCGAGTTGGCAGTGCATCTGCGACACCAATTGGGGCGGAATTCTCTGCGACCAGGACCTCAACTACTGCGGTACCCACGAGCCGTGTCAAAATGGCGGCACCTGCGAGAACACAGCGCCAGATCAGTACCGCTGCACCTGCCCCGACGGCTTCTCCGGGCCGACCTGCGAGAAGGTCGACAATCCCTGCGCCTCGAACCCCTGCCTGAACGGCGCCACATGCCGAGAAATCGGCGAGTCGGCCGAGTGCGACTGCGCGCCGGGCTTCTCGGGGCCATTTTGCGCTACTGATGTCGACGAGTGCGCCTCCCAGCCGTGTCAAAATGGCGGCATTTGCGTCGACGGCAAGAACGAATTCACCTGCAATTGCCCCTCGGCATGGCAGGGAACTCTCTGCCAGTTCGATGTGGATGAGTGCGCGCTTGTGGAGTCACCGTGCAAGAACTCGATAACCTGCGTCAATCTCGCTGGAGACTATGGGTAATTAATGCGAATGCTGAATCACTTGATCACTGCAAGTTTTCAGCCTTGAGACCAGGGACAGGTGGATCGATTTTTCTTACTGGGGGACTTACGAAGACATTTGCAAATCATTGGAGATGAGAACGGCGGGTTCATGGGAATGGGGGGAGCTGCACTGGTAGAAATTTCTTTAAATTTTAGTCGCAGCATCGTCTGGATTTTCGATTTTTGGAGGTTGAAGTCAATTTGAAATGAAAGCTTGAATTTCTAAATTAATCGTGAAAACTCAAGTCGATCTAGTCCTTAGCTGAGTTTTCGAGGAATATCTTCGAATCTAAGGGAGATAACGAAATTATCGTAATGATCTTTTTTATAGCACTCAACTCGCTCTACAAAAAAGGTTATAACAAAAATTTTGCTATCTCCCTTAGATTTCGATGTATTCATTGAAAAGTGGAGAATAGTCAAAATCGACTTGAACCGCTTCGCTACTGAATTGAACATCACGTACAATTCAATTTTCAATAGATTGAGAATTCAGAAAGGCCGTTACCTGAATTTTCAAAACTTTCAAGGTTCTTCAGTGCCGCATGCACCCGAAAATCGAAAATTACTTGAATATTCGAGAAATGAAATTCGTCAATGAAGAAAAATACAGAAATTTCATGTAACTTTGTCGTTGTTAAAATTTCGGAGCTTTTTCACTTGAAATTTCAAGAGTAATTTTCTAACAGTGTGAGGTTGTTGTTCTGTGAGGAATATTCTTCATGGGATTCCACGACTTTTATTCCCCGAAAAAATTTCTCCGACAAAACTTCCCCCCCAAAATTTCCTCGTGCCATTTTTTCGTCAAGTCACGTGCTAACGCTAATCCACCCCCCCTCCCCCCATTTCCTTCCAATTTCCGCAATTTAATTCATTTACGAAGATGAGAGAAATTATTCAGTATTAAATTTCAATAACAATCCTCAATGAGAAATACGATTTAAAAAAAAAATGCTTCACAATTTAATTCATTTACGAAGACGAGAGAAATTATTCAGTATTTAATTTCAATAACAATCCTCAATGAGAAATACGATTTTGAAAAAAAAAACGCTTCACTGAAGTAAATAAATATTTGGCAAAAATATATTTTTTCCTCAGTGTATAGAGATTTTGATGTTCGATTGAAACGAGTTATTTTAGACTTCAATGCAAATGATTATATCGTATATCACACCTCCTTCTCAATAATTTTCGAAAAATTGTAAAAAAATCTTTCCGCTGATCTTTGTTACCAGAATTAATTGCAGAAATGTAAAGAAATTTTAAGGAAAAAATGTCAAGAAGGAAAGGGCGAGGAGCAAATGGCACNGGGGGGGGGGGAATTCCCAGGAAATTTTATCGGCGAAATTTTGTCAGAGAAAAAAAACGCGCCACCCTCCCTCAGCCGTCACCTCCCCCTCTCGAAAATCGTCCACCCGACCCCCCCCCCATCGCCCCCAATTCTCACCCCCTTATTCTTCCCTTCCAGCTGCCGCTGCCGCAGTGGCTTCACCGGCAAGAACTGCACGAAGAACATAAACGACTGCGTGGGCCAGTGCCAGCACGGCGCCCTCTGCATAGACCTGGTGAACGACTACCACTGCTCCTGCACGCCGGGCTACTCCGGCAAGGACTGCGACGTCGACATAGACGAGTGTGCGTCGAAGCCCTGCCAGAACGGCGGCGACTGCCGCGACCTGGTGAACGCTTACGAGTGCGTCTGCCCAGTGGGTTACACCGGTTTCCAGTGCGAGATAGACCGGGACCACTGCAGCCCGAACCCCTGCAGGAACTCGGCGCCCTGCTTCAACACCCAAACGGACTACTACTGCCACTGCCCCGAGCAGTGGCAGGGGAAAAACTGTTCGGAGCCTGCGCTGCACAACCCGCAGTATCGTCTCGACGACGGTAACCTGGGATGCGGCAGCGAGGGTACGCCCTGCGGAGGTCGTGGCACCTGTTCCGGGGGTATCTGCATCTGCGACCCGGGCTACACCGGCCAACACTGCCACGAGAACATCAACGACTGCAGGGGCAGCCCCTGCCTGAACGGTGGCACCTGCGTTGATTTGGTGAACAGTTTTCAGTGCATCTGCAGGGAGGGCTGGACGGGCGACCTCTGCGACGAGGACGTCGACGAGTGCCTGGACTCCCCCTGCCGCAACAACGGCACCTGCGTCGACGCAATCGCTGATTTTACGTGCACCTGCCGCGGGGGCTGGAAGGGCAAGACCTGCACCCTGCGCGGCGGCCACTGCGAGCCCCTGACCTGCCGTCACGGTGGCACCTGCGAGGACCGCGGCGACGGTTTCACCTGCCACTGCCCCGCAGGCTGGGAGGGCGCCGCCTGTCACATTGCCTCACCTGCGTGCGCCTCCTCCCCCTGCGAAAATGGGGCCACCTGCGTGAACACTGCTGATGGAAACTACAGGTGCATCTGCAGGGAGGGCTTCGAGGGGCCCAACTGCCGGCGTGACGTCGACGACTGCAAGCCCCTGCCCTGCCTCAACGGCGGCCGCTGCGTCGACGGCGTCAACTGGTTCAGGTGCGAGTGCGCAGCTGGCTTCACCGGGCCCGACTGCCGGATCAACGTCAACGAGTGCGCCAGTGATCCCTGTCTGTTCGGGGCGACCTGCGTCGACGGAATTGCCTCGTACTCCTGCGTGTGCCCAACCGGCAGAACTGGCAGCCACTGCGAAATCGGAAATCCCGGCAGCGCAGGGTGTCCTTCACCCCCCTGGGACGACGACTGCAATGTCTGCGAGTGCCGGAACAACAAGAACCAGTGCAGCAATGTCTGGTGCGGCCAGGGGAACTGTTTGAATGGGACTTCGTGTCTGGCGCACGAGGTCTGCGTTCCGTCGCCAGGTGAGTCCTGCTTGTCGCCCCCCTGCGCTGCATGGGGTGAGTGCAGGCCCATTGAAAGTGGCAGGAGGGTCGGCCCACCGGCCCTGCCAGCGCCGCCCAGCTGCTGGCCAGGCCAGGCGGAGACAGGTCCCACCTGCGCAAGGCTCACCATTCTGCTCAGGAGGGACACACTCTTGCCTGGGACCTCGGTGGAGTTCCTGTGCCGCAGCTTTCGCAGGCTTCTCGCCGATCCACGGCGGCCGCAGTCTGTCGTTATGCTGTGCGATCTCAAGAGTGGGGACAATGACACCATCGAGGTGACGATTTTCTCGGAAGCTGCTGGCGACGCTGCCAAGGATCTGGGGGAGAGCCTCAGCAGGCCCCTGAGCAGACCCTTGGCCCTTGCCTCCGTTCTCGAGGTCAAGGTCGAGACCACGAGGCTCACTGGGGGCGGGGAGGGGGGCTCTGGGGCTGGTGGTGGGGGGTATGTGGNTATGTGGCGGCACTAGGGGGGGTCGTGACGACGGTGCTGCTGCTGGGGATTCTTGGGGGGCTCTGGTACCTCAGGGGCAGGAGGAGGGCTGGCATGAGTGCAGCCACCACCAGTGAGACTTCTCTGCACAGACACAGGAGTGATCTCGATGAGAAGTCGAATAATCTGCAGAATGAGGAGAACCTCAGGAGGTATGCCAATCCTCTCAAGGATCAGGACGCCGAGCCCAGGGTCAGCGTTGTCAGGCCACTCAGTGGGATGAGCCTCGGGGGCATTGGGGGCACTGAGGAGAGCTTGGAGATGGTGTCCGAGGAGGGACGGCACAGGCTACCGCCGCTGTATAAACCTACTAGTGCGGAGGCAAGGAATAATACCGCGAGTTTCAGCTATGAGGAGAGCCTGCATAAGCCGTACAGCAAGCCCAGGTTACAGGAACCCGGGTACTCGCATCAGCAGCCAGGGACTAGCGCCGGGGTGGGACCCAGGCAGGTGCTCACTGTACATGTGTAGGGGGGGGACGTTTTGAGGGTAGTAGGATGGAGTTTTTAGGGGTGGGGCAGAACGGGATGGGAGGGGGTTAGGTGGGGAGGTGGGAGAATTTCCGGTTCCAAACCCTGGTGTTGAATGGTTTTATGTTGGGGGGATCCTGAGATAATTGAGGCAACTTTTTTATAAGAGAATTTTCGATCGGCGATTTCGCGGGAACGGGTGGGGGTAGAGGGGCGTGTGACCAGTGGTTGGAAGCGGAAATTTTCCGGGCTCGGCGGTGGGACTGGTTTCGTCCGGAAATTTTGAGATTTTGAAATTTTTTTGAATTTTAGTCCGTTCAACTGCAGATTTACACTCAAAACATTCTCTCGCTGTTTGAATATTTTTTATTCCGAGTTCAAATGGGTGATAAAGAGAGCCTGGTGTTGAAGTCGAGGGACTGAGACGTGAGGGTTCATGACTTTAAATAGCCATGTGACATTAGATGATACAAAATGTTATAATTAAAAGAGATATATACATAAAAAAAAATTATATTGTAGAAAAGTGTGAGTGAGAGATGAGAATTATGGTAGAAACTAGGGAGAGAGAGGATACAATAAATGAGGGAACGCAATTTCTACTTTAATGAGAGGACTCGTGTCATTGTGGCGAGAGTCACGTATGACTCATGGACAAATCCCGTTTCTTTTTTTTTCCTTCTTTTTATTTCGGTTTTTATGGGGATTCGCTTTTTGTGCTCAAGTGCGTCTTACATCTCTCTCTTTGCGAATTAATGCGAAAGCCTCTCGACAATTGAGAGAACGTAAAATTTTTTTCATTTCGAGTAATACGAGGAATTAAATTCGATGATTATGGAAACGTGACAATAAATTGAATAACACGACGATTATAATTAATGATAATGACAAGTTGTTATCTCTTGTACATATGTACATAAATCGTACTTATTAATAATTCTTTTTTCATTCGTCTTCCTCGTGTTTTCAATCCCAAGGGGCAAAACTTATCATTAGGACTTGATTTTTTTCAGAATAACACAGAAGACATTTTCCGACATTCGTTTTTGTTAATTATCTCGAGAAGGAGTGGACTTGGGAAAAAAACTCAAAAAACATTTTTCGTCGGAAATTCAATTCCCCGCAAAAAATGTTCTCTGACATTTTCTCCTCAAGCCCCTCGCTATCGAGATAATCCCATTGTTAGGAAATGTGTGTGTTTTTAATCGACAATTCTACCACCAATTTTCATAAATAAAAATACTGGATAAGATAAGAGCTAATGTACCGTATCTACAAATTGTGATACTGCCTGCGATGAAAAATGAATCGTAAAATAATCCTCAACCGTTTGAAAAAAGTGAAATGTAAATTTTATCGATGATGAGACATTTTTGAATAAATAACTTAGGCAGTTCGGTGCGTCTATTCGCGACAAAACATTGTGATAATCATGTACGAAGACATCATAACGTCACATCACACGTATAAGTATCGTTTAATACACCATCTCCCCCCCCCCTTCCCCCCTAATTTCATTTTATGGAAATATCTGTACTTTGTTTTTATGTATTTCTATTAATAATAATTCTTTTATTTAAATACAAGACAAGATATTTACGACAGGTTTTTTACAGCCTAAGGGGTGATTATTGTAATGCACTTGCGATGGATAGAGAATGATAAATAAATATGTACTGTATATTATAATTATGAGGATATTATGATAGGAGTAAATGATATATGTAAATGGGTAATGCTATTTGATACTCGTCCATTTGAGAGAGATGTGTCTCGGGGGTATGTTGGAGACCATTTTATTTGTATATAAACACGAGAGACTCATTAATATTTCGAATTTACGATTTTTTAATTATTTACAAAATGAAGGAGGAACGAATGTGCAATTTTTTTTAATTAGATGAACGCCTCGGTTTAAACGTCGACAATTCTTTCATTATATTTTTCTGTAATTCTGGTAGTGAATAGGTTTCGTAATGTTTCTTATATGTTTTAAAATATGAGGAATAAAAAGTAAATAAATATTGAAGTGTTTTGTGGTGTTTTTTTATTTATTTTGGGGGGAGTGGGGTCGATGGTCCCTGGTTCGATGACGTTTCGAAAGACATTTCGTTTTGAGATTTCTTTTTCTTAATTAGTTTTTGGGGGGAGGGTTTTTTGAATTATTGTTTGGGAATTGACGGTTTGATTGATCTGATTATATCATTAATTAGGGGTTTTAGGTGACAGTTGAAGAAAAAAGTCTTGATATTTTTGCATAAAAGATGTTCCATGAATTAATGACTCTTGAATTATTTCTTTAATGAGCGATTTTGGGGAGAATTCCTTTGAAAATTTTACGAGAAAAATGTATCTTGATTTTTTTTTTATTGAAATTATTTGTTACCAATCTCGAAAACAAGTGGGAAATTGCTCTTGGATTGCATATTGTACAGTTTTTTTTGCTAATAAATTAGCAATACACTTCCGAATGATTATTTTGCACATCACTTCCTTCTATCATGCATAATTTATTGTTTATTTCATTTTATTAAATTGAATAAGATTTCTTTTCAACTAATTTTGTCAGATTTTCAACTCAGTTGAATGTTATCATCATCATTATTCTTATTATCCCTTTCTTCTACACAACCGATTGTCTTTTTTACAGTTCTATCTCTCCCCTCAACCCTTCGATAAAATGTTAATAGACAAATTTTATTTACACTTATTTGAACGAATTTGAAACATCACATTTGAAGAAACCATCAGAAAGCTCACTTTCAGGGAAATTCATGAAAAATTCGAAATTTTCAACAATCATCATAAAAATCAAATCAACCAATATAGCTATCGTAATCATCTTTTAACTTCGACTTAATGGCATTAAAACAAACATTTAAAGCTATGATTGAATTCATTTGAAGCACGATATTCAAAGATATCCCCGGAATTCTGATTTTAAAAAAATACAAAATTTTTGCAAATTTTCAAATAAATCAAAATAACGATTATTGCTATCGCCTTCATCTTCGAACTCGGTCAAAAGGACATCCAAACAAATTTGTTAAGCCATCATTCAATCAATTCAGAACATTTTTTGTGTTATCGTGGGACAACTGATTTTCGAAAAAATTCGAAAATTACAAAACTCCAAGAAAAAGTCTTGACATTTTTTTTTTTAATTAATCGATGAGATTTTCTAATTTTCAGAAACGTTTTTCCAATAGAAAGTTCAATCTTCCTAAAATGTTATTCGTTATTTTAATTATTTATCCCCGAATCCACTATCAATTGAAAAATTTATTAAATACTTCGTCAACAATTTGAAAAAAATGTCAAAAAAGTATTTTTCCCCTCATAAATTAAATATCAAGTTCAACACACTCCATTTTTCTTAAAACGAATTAATGAGAATTGTTTTGTTTTGTCATAAAATCCGGATCCTAATTTTCAGAAGTTTTCCCAATAGAAAGTTCAATTTTCCTAAAATGTTATTCGTTATTTTAATTATTTATCCCCGAATCCACTATCAATTGAAAAATTTATTAAATACTTCGTCAACAATTTGAAAAAAATGTCAAAAAAGTATTTTTCCCCTCATAAATTAAATATCAAGTTCAACACACTCCATTTTTCTTAAAACGAATTAATGAGAATTGTTTTGTTTTGTCATAAAATCCGGATCCTAATTTTCAGAAGTTTTCCCAATAGAAAGTTCAATTTTCCTAAAATGTTATTCGTTATTTTAATTATTTATCCCCGAATCCACTATCAATTGAAAAATTTATTAAATACTTCGTCAACAATTTGAAAAAAATGTCAAAAAAGTATTTTTCCCCTCATAAATTAAATATCAAGTTCAACACACTCCATTTTTCTTAAAACGAATTAATGAGAATTGTTTTGTTTTGTCATAAAATCCGGATCCTAATTTTCAGAAGTTTTCCCAATAGAAAGTTCAATTTTCCTAAAATGTTATTCGTTATTTTAATTATTTATCCCCGAATCCACTATCAATTGAAAAATTTATTAAATACTTCGTCAACAATTTGAAAAAAATGTCAAAAAAGTATTTTTCCCCTCATAAATTAAATATCAAGTTCAACATACTCCATTTTTCTTAAAACGAATTAATGAGAATTGTTTTGTTTTGTCATAAAATCCGGATCCTAATTTTCAGAAAAGTTTTCCCAATAGAAAGGTCAATCTTCCTAAAATGTTATTCGTTATTTTAATTATTTATTCCTGAATCCACTATCAATTGAAAATTTCATTAAATACTTCGTCAAAAATGTCAAAGAAATGTCAAAAAAGTATTTTTTCCCTTCACAAATTAAATATCAAGTTCAACACACTCCAGTTTCCTTAAAACCGAATTAATGAGAATTGTTTTGTTTTGTCATAAAATCCGGAAATGTTGTCGACAGAGACAATTCTCCAGAAAAGGGCTCAACCCTCGGCAATCTGTCGACCTCATGCAACTCGCTGTTGAATTCAAATCACAGAGATCGCGGAATCTCGGAAAACGTGATTTCCGGGTGAGACAGGGAGAGGGAGAATGAGGAGAAAAATAAAAATCAACAATAAAACCGAGAATAGAGGTGAGTTGGAGCGGTGCAGGGATAAAAGGAGACAAGGCGGAGGTTCAAGTGTGGGCACGTAGTTGGTGCAGTACTTGGGTTATTGCACGTGAATGGGTCGCTTAGGGGACATCACAGCGTTACATGGTTGCGCTTGAAAGAGACGAATTCATAGTCAGGGTGGGAATGGTCTTGTCTCGTCAAGGGACGCTGACTTGTGCAAAACAGAAACGGGAATCAACGCCTAATTAACAACAATTTCCCTATTTTTTAATTTCAAAATCCAAAATTTGATTTTTAAATGGAATTTTTGAATTTGCCATTTTTTAATTCAAAAATCCGAAATTTAGGTTTTGAATTTGCCATTTTGAAATTAAAAAATCTAAAATTTGATTTTTAAATGGAATTTTTGAATTCGCCATTTTGGAATTAATAAATCCAAAATTTGATTTTTAAATGGAATTTTTGAATTTGCCATTTTTTAATTCAAAAATCCGAAATTTAGGTTTTGAATTTGCCATTTTGAAATTGAAAAATCTAAAATTTGATTTTTAAATGGATTTTTTGAATTCGCCATTTTGGAATTAATAAATCCAAAATTTGATTTTTAAATGGAATTTTTGAATTTGCCATTTTTTAATTCAAAAATCCGAAATTTAGGTTTTGAATTTGCCATTTTTTAATTCAAAAATCCGAAATTTAGGTTTTGAATTTGCCATTTTTTAATTCAAAAATCCGAAATTTAGGTTTTGAATTTGCCATTTTTTAATTCAAAAATCCGAAATTTAGGTTTTGAATTTGCCATTTTTTAATTCAAAAATCCGAAATTTAGGTTTTGAAGTTGCCATTTTGAAATTGAAAAATCTAAAATTTGATTTTTAAATGGAATTTTTGAATTCGCCATTTTGGAATTAATAAATCCAAAATTTGATTTTTAAATGGAATTTTTGAATTTGCCAAAATTTAATTTACAATAGGGTAAAATGGTATTCCAAATGATTCCTGTTTTTAATTCATTGAGACAAAAAAATTTATTCCAATTTCTTCTGTCACTTCCCATGAGGAGTTAGTGTTTTGTTATCCACCATGGAAAATGACAGCTAATAGATAATTAGCCACAGCAAATCAGATATTTGTAATTTCCACTTTTTTCAACTCATTCTGAATCCCAATTAAAAACGCTCTTTGAAAAAGTTCAGAATTTTTTCTATTTTTTTTTATCACTCCATCATAATTTTTGGGAATTCCTACATGATGTACCACTCAATTAACAATTTTGCATTAAGAAACATAAAAAAAATCCAAATAACATCCGAAAGATAGTACACCCGGGCCTTAAAGAAAAAAAAAGCGAAGAAAAATGCGCATGATTATAATGCGGTTGTTTTCTCACGGTAGTATTTAGTCACAGTAGTATTTAATGGCAGTCCGCATCCAAAATCGTCCATCCCACCTGATTTCCCCCTTCGAATTACGCAAACCGAGAATAAACTCCTAAACGCCCATTAAAAGTGTCCCCATAATCGTTAATAGACCATCTCCCCCCCGGAATTACAATACAATGGCGTAAGTATGACCACTTGAGGAACGGCCAAATGAGTCACACTCACCTCGTGTGAACGTCGCCTTTCATCTCCGATCAACCAGGACATCACCCCGTGATTAACAGATGAAGTCCAAAAAAAATTCAAGTATTCCTAAGGGACACGTGTGATTAATACCTCGGTGATTAAGGGGAAGAATCACGCAATTTAGCTTTCAAATGTAGCGTGATTCGCCAGTTTTATCAAGACCATGTGCTCGGAACATGCTGAAGGACAAGAGCCTGACACATTGCGGAAGATATTTAATGATGATGGGTATTTTTCACCTTTTGCAACGGGATTACATGACGAATCGAGAAACAAAAAAATGAAAAATCGTCTAAGAAATTTGAAAATGGTTTCGTTGTGTAGCCAGCGGTTCCCTTGATATTAAACAAACATTTTACAATTTAAAGGTCTTCATTAACATATATAACAATCAAGTACATCGAGTAACAGTATCACAATGAGCTTGGACTTAAAAATAGTTAGTACAGCTTCAGCCCGAAGGCTATTACATATATTTTGCATAAAGATTGCGAATTTTTATTTTGTGGCGCTTAAGGAGTATGGGAAAAAAACAGAATATATTGCGTAGGGAAAAATTTAAGGATCGAAAAAAAAACCTATTTGAAAAAAAACTATTTAGAAAAAAAACCCTATTTAGAAAAAGAACCCTATTTAGAAAAAAAAAACCCTATTCAGAAAAAATCGTATTTAGAAAAAAAAACCCTATTTAGAAAAAAACCCTATTCAGAAAAAAAACCTTATTTAGAAAAAAAACCCTATTTAGAAAAAAAAATCTATTTAGAAAAAAAACCCTATTTCATATTTAACAAAAAAACAATAATTTTTAAAAAAATTTTTCCAATTATCCAAAAAACTATTGGCGATAAAAGGACTTAAGACCAGTGTTCCGAGCCGAAAATATTCCCAACATGCCATCAAAAATATTATTTTTCAATTTTTTTCATTTATTGAAATTTAAAAAATTTCCTTAATAACAAAAAAATGCGAAAACGTGTTTCTAACCTTCGACATTTTTATCCTCAATTTCTCCAGGTATTAGCTTCCCGTAATAAACTCCGTGACTCTCCTCACAGAAAAACCGCAAGAACAAATCTATTATCTCCAAACGCGTAAGTATGAAAGCCCCGTAAATGCTTCCGCATTGAAGAACGTCCGCTCGTTTAATGACACGCGTTAAGTAATAGAGTAATGATTCATTTGGTTCGACGGAAAAAAAGGGTTCTTCCGTTTCTTGGGATGATTTTAAATTTTTCTAATGACGGTGGAGAGCACCCAATGGGTCGAAAGCCATCGCACTTGACCGGAGACAATTAAACGGTCAAATGATGACGTTTGTGGGTGCTAGGGGGCAAGGAGGAACGACAGAAATTGACTACAAAAATTCAATGTCCACTACTTTAGGAGTATCTCCGAAACTAGTGAATTTACAGAAAAATGTTATGAACACTTTTTGTAGGTGAGAAAATTTCCCACAAAAAGTGTTTTATGATTTTTTTTTCTGGAGTGACTCATTACCGAAATAATTGAGTAATTAAAAAATTCACATGTGTTTTCATGATAAAAATTGATAATTATGTAATTATCACTCAATTAATTTAGTTTTGGGAAATAATGTTGATAAATTCGAAGTGGCTGACAGGTGTGAGGGCCGCCATCTTGCTTGGACGCTTCTTCCTTCTGCCGCAAGGGGGTTTAAAGCTGGCGGCCGCCCCATCTCGCATTTTCAGACCTTTCTTGTCATTATTTATCGTCTTCATATCACCTTCAACTCGTTTTATCTAGTTTTTATAGAGGGAACAATTTTTTTAAGCCATCCTTCAAATTTTTTCATGCTCTTTTGGCTGAGAATTCATGACGCAAAGTTATGTCTGGATTTCAGTAGTTGTTTTATTACTCCCGAGGCCTCTCCAACCTGTCTTATACCTGCCTAAATCCTCTATGAATAATGGAGGACTTTGATTCTGATTATTTCTGGGGGAATGAGTCCTTCGAGGATGCTAGGACCTTGACCATTGATCAGACCTCCACCGGTGCATCGAGAGCCTCAGAGATCAGTGAGTTGTTCCCTGAGTTTGTCTCAAAGCTACAGGATGAAAGGGCGAGACGTGCGGCTGCCGAGGAGGAGGAAAAGAGGGAGAGACTACGAAAATTACTAGGGGTAATGTTGCTATTCACGTGAAGATTATCACTCTAGATGCGAGTCTAGACCAACTTCAGACCAATCTAGAACCGACTAGACAATGTAATATTTTTTTGTAAAGGTCGATCCCCATATTCTTGTACCCTTAATTTGACCCTCGTGACCCTTACTCTGACCTTCGTGACCCTTATTCTGACCCTCGAGACCCTTATTCTGACCTTCATGAACCGTATTATGACCCTTACGACCCTTATTCTGACCCTCATGACCTTTATTTTGACCCTCGTGCCCCCATATGACCCTCATGATTCTTATTCTGACCCTTGTACCCTTAATTTAACCCTCGTGACCCTTACTCGAACCTTCGTGACCCTTATTCTACCCCTCGAGACCCTTATTATGACCTTCATGAACCTTATCCTGACCCTTAAGACCCTTATTCTGACCCTCATGACCTTTATTTTGACCCTCGTGACCCCCATATATGACCCTCATGATTCTTATTCTGACCCTTGTACCCTTAATTTAACCCTCGTAACCCTTACTCTCACCTTCGTGACCCTTATTCTACCCCTCGAGACTCTTATTCTGACCCTTGAGACCCTTATTCTGACCCTCGTTATCCTCACTCTGACCCCTGTGACCTCTATTACGACCCTCGTGACCCTTATTTTGACCCTCATGATCCTTATTCAAAACCTTATGACCCTTATTTTGACTCTTGAGACCCTTATTCTGAGCCTCAAACCTTATTTTAACCCTCATTACCCTCATTCTGACCCCCTGACCTTTATTTTGATCCTCGTGACCCTTATTTTGACCCTCATGACCCTTATTTAAAACCTTATGACCCTTATTTTTACTCGTGAGACCCTTATTCTGATCCTCAAACCTTATTTTGACCCTCATTACCCTCATTCTGACCTCCTGACCTTTATTTTGACCCTCGTGACCTTTATTTTGACCCTCGTGATCCTTATTCAAAACCTTATGACCCTTATTTTGATTCTTGAGACTCTTATTCTGACCTTCAAACCTTATTTTTACACTCATTACCCTCATTCTGACCCCCTGACCTTTATTTTGACCCTCGTGGCCCTTATTCAAAACCTTATGACCCGTATTTTGACCCTTGTGATCTTTAATTTTGGATTCCTAATTTCGAAAACCAAATTTTTATCACCAGAAATCGATTTGGATTTTTATAATATAGAGAGACAGTTTCTGTTCGACATTTTCTACTAAAAAAAGGCGCAGTAAAGCTGCGGAATTCTTCGATAGAATCTGCCAAAAACTAATACAATTTTTAATAGAAATTCAGTAGAATTTTCTAGCGAATTCGCTAAGTCTTTTCAGGAAATTTTTTCTTTTGTGTTCTCATGAGCACTTGAATCTCTGTTACCTCCAGCTGGATAAAGCGAAGGCTCGTGATTCGGCGGAGACGATAGGAACCCCTGAGGACACATTATCCTCGTCCCCAAGAAGCAGCAGCGAGAGCAGTGGGAATCTCTGTCTCAGGGACATCGCAGTCAGTGATTCACAACTGAAACTCCTGAATATTTACAATATGTATCCTGTACCTGAGGACCCGGGGCTGGTGTCCGGGTTTTGGGTGCTATTCCCGAGGGAGGTATCTTACAAAGAGGATGGGATCCAGAAGTTCATGGATGTCAGCGGGAGAATGAAACTCAGGCCGATTAAAGTAGTAGAAACATAAGTTGAATTTTCAAGATTCAAATCTAAAATAAATTCTGAAGGACAGTTAATATGAATTGAAACAATCTGGTTGAGTTCGAGCCCAATCAAACATCTAGTTTTGTTCATAATAATTAAAGCAGAAGTGCAAAAATAACAGTCTCATGAGAAAATTAACTTTACGAGGTTCAGGAGAGGATTAAAGTTTAGAAAAAATCCCGAAAAATCAGAAAAAAATTATGAAAATTCTATGTTCAATGGGAAAATTATCTTCTGTGTCAAACTTTTGTAACAAATATTTTATGTTTCTGTGTGTCTGAAATGACGTGTCGAAACACATTAGCCAAACGAGAGACTATTGTTTAAAAAAATAGCAAATGATGGTTAATTTCCGGTTCAAACTGTTGAGAAGAGAATGTGATGGCTCAATTTCTTACACTCGTTAAAGTTAGGATTCATGGAAAAAATTATCAATGAATAATTATTTTTTCTTGCTTTTTGAATTTATCTCTCATTATTATACTCAAGGACGCAACTAGAGTTTATTCATACTACTTTAAGAAAGTCTGTGAGATGCTGAAGACCGATGAAATTGATCTGGGGTTTTATGGTATTGATCCGAGGATTGTTCGGGCGCTTTCGGACGCCATTACTAACAATACTTCAGTGCAAACGTTAAATCTACAAGTGAGTCGATAAAATAGCATAAATTGAAGAATGAATAGAATGAAAATTTTGAATTTTGAACGTTTTGTGAATTGTAATATGGGAATGGGGAGTTTAAAATGGTAAAATGTTAAAGCTGAGATAATTTCCGGTTTCAAACACTGGTCTTAAACCTCTTTATCTCCATCAGCTCCCAAGATATTTAACAAAAAAATTTCATTCATTTTTTTTCTCAAAAAGTTTTTCACAGCTATCTCGGAAATTATCAGAGATAAAAGGGTTTGTGACCAGTGTTTGGAGCCCAGAAATGTCCACATCTATCGAAAGAAACAATTTTCATAACAATTTTTCCAATTCAGCACGAAAAAATGGAGAAAATTGTAATTCTTAATAATTTTCTTTTTCTACGGAATTTTCCAGGAAATTTTTTCTATATTTTCTGTAATTAAGGCCCGGGTGTACTATCTTTCGGACGTTATCTCGAGGTTTTTTTTCACCTTTCGTCATCTGAAATTGTCAATTGAGTCCTGCATCATACAAAAGTTTTAAAAAATTATGAATGAATAATGAAAAAAAAGTAGAAGAAATCATTAATTTTTTCAAAGCGCATTTTTAATTTATATTCAGAATAAGTTGAATAACAAGAAATTAAAAAATGAATCTGATTTACGGTGACAAATGGCGGCCTGTCACCCAATATCGTGCAAGGGGGAGACTGATTTCGTAAATCTTTTCCCACACTGCACAGAGACATTTATTACGGAAAGGGCTCTTTGAAAAAAGTTGTAATATTTTGGAGAATTTTTTAATCACACTTTTATCAAATAAAAATGGCAGATGACTAGATACCACTGTTTTAAAAATTGAGAGACCTAGCTGTCACTTCCCATGAGGAATTAGTGTTTTGTTACCCACCATGGAAAATGAGAGCTAATTAATAATCTGCCACAGCGAATCAGATATTTGTAATTCCCACATTTTTCAACTCATTCTGAATCTCAATTAAAAACGCTCTTTGAAAAAGTTCAGAATTTTTTCTATTTTTTTCATCATTCTATCATAATTTTTGGGAATTTCTACATGATGTACCACTCAATTGTCAATTGTGGATTACGAAAGATAAAAAAATCCAGATAACATTCGAAAGATAGTACACCCGGGCCTTAAATGATGGATTTTTTAAATTTTATCTATTAACACCTTCACCTGAAGGCTTAATACATAAATGGATAAATTTTTATTCCAGGAAAATTGGCTGACTGTTGACGCCTGTTTCCACTTGAACGATCTATTGATAAATAACGGAGTATTGTCGTGGGTTAATTTATCGGGATGTCGAATGGGCCCCCGGGGTGCGAAGAGACTCATGAGCGGGATCGGAAGAGCCCCGGTTTTAGAGTACTTGAACGTCAGCAAATGTGAACTGGGGGATGAGGGGGGTGGGTACATCTGCGATGGGGTGTGTGACAGCATCAGTCTGAAAACCCTCGATTTGTCCGATAACAGTCTCGAGGGGGCCTGCGTCTGGCCGTTCTATTACATGCTGGCGCAGACCGAAACGTTAGAGGAAATTAATTTGTCCTGGAATTCCCTGAAGTCCGGGGACTTCTGGAAGACTTTTCTGCTGGGAATTCTGAAGAATTTCACGATGATGAGGGTTGATCTCTCCTGGAACTCTCTGGGGAAGGAGTATCTTCCGTTTCTGATGCAGTTGGTGGAGAAGTCGAAGAATATTACGGAGTTGAATCTCTCGAGTAAGACTCCTTATTTCGGGCTATATTGAGTTTTGACGATCGCATCTCGTAAATATTTTTTAATTAATTTATATCTGATGAAAGCTAAGAGGCCTCAAGGAAAATATTCAAAAATACGAGGTGACAGGTGTAGGTGCCGCCATCTTGCTCGGATGTTCTCTTGCATTTTTAAAATGGCGACACCTCCACCTCGTATTTTCAACCATTTTTTAGAATTATTCATCGTCTTCGGATCACCCTCAACTCACTTCATCCGATTTCTATGAAATGAACGATTTTTTTAAGCCACCTTTCATATTTTTCCATCGGTTTTTGGCTGAGAATTCATGCCGCAAATTTTTCCTCGCATTTCCGTAGTTTTTTTCTTCTACTGAGGCTTTCTAATATTCGATGACGAAGACGTCAAAAAACTATCAAAATCCCTCTCTAAAAACGGAATCCTCCAGAAATTATCTCTCAAGGACAATCCCATCATGTTTTTCAAAAATAGCTTGGAAAATTTGTTCATTTTCTAGGAAATGGATAAAATAAGTTTGAGGTGATCAGCACAGGATAAATAATTTTAATAAATATTCGAAAATGCGAGGTGGTAGTAGTGGGCACCGCCATCTTGCTTGGGTACCCCCTCCCCCGGCCCATGTAGCTTTAAAGATGGCGGCGCCTCCACCTCGCATTTTTAAACGTTTCAAAAAGTTATTCATCCTCCTCGAACGACCCTCAACTCAAGCCATTCAATTCCTCTAAAGTGAACAAATTTTTTAAGCCATCTTTCAGACTTTTCCATCCTCATTTGCCTGAGAATTCACGGCCCAAAGTTTTCCCCGCATTTCAGTACTTTTTTTCTCTTCATTTGGCTTTATAATCTTCAGACAATCGATTCGACGACGAAGACGTCAGAAAACTATCAAAATCCCTCTCTAAAAACGGAATCCTCCAGAAATTATCTCTCAAGGACAATTCCATCATGTTTTTCAAAAATAGCTTGGAAAATTTGTTCATTTTCTAGGAATTGGATAAAATAAGTTTAAGGTGATCAGCACAGGATAAATAATTTTAATAAATATTCGAAAATGCGAGGTGGTAGTAGTGGGCACCGCCATCTTGCTTGGGTACCCCCTCCCCCGGCCCATGTAGCTTTAAAGATGGCGGCGCCTCCACCTCGCATTTTTAAACGTTTCAAAAAGTTATTCATCCTCCTCGAACGACCCTCAACTCAAGCCATTCAATTCCTCTAAAGTGAACAAATTTTTTAAGCCATCTTTCAGACTTTTCCATCCTCATTTGCCTGAGAATTCACGGCCCAAAGTTTTCCCCGCATTTCAGTACTTTTTTTCTCTTCATTTGGCTTTATAATCTTCAGACAATCGATTCGACGACGAAGACGTCAAAAAACTGTCAACATCCCTCTCGAAAAGCGAAACCCTTCAGAAATTATTCCTCAAGAACAACCCCATTGGTCCAGAGGGTGCACTAGCTCTCATAAAATCCCTCACACCAGCAGCCGCCGCCTCCTCCCGCCTTCGTCATCTCGATCTGGACAATATCTGGGCGAATACAGAGGTGATCCCATTCCTGCAGGAGATTAGAACCACCCGATCCTCACTGACAGTCAAATTGGGCGGAATTTTGAGTAATTATCAGCTGGTGGGTCCAGACCCGAGGAGAATATTCCTGAAGAGAGCGAACTTCGAGGCGATGAAGCCCAAGAAGAAGAAGCAACGAAGGAATTTCGGTCATTTCGTGCTGTCTCTGGAGGACTCGACAATTTCGAAATTAGAATTTCGCCAGTTAATTAGGCGTTACAAATTGAAATTAACGGAGTCGTTAATTGCGGAGATCATGAGCGCCTTTCAAGTGGGGAAAGACGAGATTGATCAGGCGGGTTTGAAGGCGTTCTACCTCGGAGAATATCCGGAGACGACGCCTCCCCCTCCGAAACCAGAGAAAAAGAGGAAAGAGAAGAAGAGGAAGGGGGATAAGGATGGTAAGGCAGTGGAAGACAATGAGGTTGAGAAACAAAAGGCGAAGAAGAAGAAAGTCACGAGGTTGATTCTTTCATTCATTCAATTTTTCAATTGATTTTTTTCTGGTTTTTGTTAATTATGGTTTGAGAATTGTAGGACTAGAAATTAATTTTTTAATGGTTATTCTCAGGTTCGAATGATGGAAACTGAAGAAAAATGATGGTTTATCCCCCCAGAAATCATGGAAGTGCTCAAAGAAAAATACTGAAACAATTTTGAGAGTAGAAAAGCCGGAGTAGAATTGATTGAAAAATTTTTTATGCTAAAAATTATCAGAAGGATTATTTTATGCAAAAAATATCTGTCTCGATATTCGAATGCCTCTGAAACAAATGCCTCAGCTGTCATTTCAATTTTTTGATTAACATTTAAGGTTTAAATTACGTTTAAATTTCTGTTTAGATGCAAAAATGGGTGCAATTGCTTGAAATGTTGATTTAAAAAAGAAAAATATTATTTTTTCTTAAAATGGTGATTTAAAAAAAAATATGTTAATTTTATTTCACAAAAAAATTGGCGAAAGATCAATTTCATGCAAAAAAAAACATCAGGGTCACAGTAAAAATACCCCTAAATTCTAATTCTAGTCATTTCCATGTTTTTAAAAAATAATGTTTCACATTGAAACTTCTAAAATCCAATCAATAAATCCCCAATTAATTTTTCATCAGTTTGCACAATTAAAAATCGACTTGTTCTTCAATGAAGTCAAGTCAGAAATCCTCGCAGAACGCAAATAAATGAAGAGAGAATTTTTTAATCAAAATAGAATGATGGATTTTATGCAAAAAAGCATCAGGATCAGCCTTCGAATGCTCCAAAACTCCAATTGTCGTGATTTTAAGCAATTTTTTAATTCTTTAAATAATATTACAAACATTATTCTTACTTAGAATTTTAATTAATTAAAAAAATAATACAAAAAGACCTACATTCAATGGAATTTGCCACTCTTTCACTCCTAAAACATTAATAAATTATGTATTCGCATTGAAATCTCAGAGCGTCACTCAATAAATCACCAATTAATAAAATTCACCAAAAAAATTAATTGATGATTCATAAATCAGTAGCGAAGTGGTTAAACGGTTCGAGTCAATTTAGTCTTCAGTTGTTTTCCAGAAATATTTCCAAATTTAAGTGAGATAGCGAAATTTTCATAACAACCTTTTTTGTAGAGCGAATTGAATGCTACTAAAAAGGTTATGAGAACAATTTTGCTATCTCCCTTAGACTTCGAGATATTCATTGAAAACTGGTCAATAGCCAAAATCGACTTGAATCGTTTGACCATTTCGCTACTGAAATAAATCACCAATTAATTCATAATTCCTCATGAATTTAATCAATGAGCAATCGACTTGTCTTTTCAATCGAGATAAAAAATCCTCGCAGCGATGTCATCTAGGATCCAATCAATCCCCTCCACGAGGTTCTCAGCAGTGACAGCAGAGCATTTGAGGATCTGCCAGTGGTGTGTCTTGATGCCAGGGAGTTCCAGGACCTCGGCGATCTCCGCTGCTGACAGTGCACCAGGTAGATCCTGTTTATTGGCTAGAATCAGGAGACTGGCCCCCTGGAGCCTCTCCTCCTGCAGCAATTTGTATAATTCCGCCTTGCAGTCCTCGAGACGACGCTTGTCAGCACTGTCCACCACCCAGATCAGTCCATCGGTGCTCTCGAAGTAATTCCTCCAGTAGGATCGCAGAGATTTCTGACCCCCCACGTCCCAGATGTTGAGCTTGTAGCCACGGTGCTCCAGGGTCTTTATGTTGAAGCCGAGGGTCGGGGAAATCGTGTCTATTGGCTCGCCCACTATTCGTTTTAGGATTGTTGTCTTTCCTGCATTGTCCAATCCGCTGAAATGATTTTGTGGAGTTGATTTACTGAAGGATTTTACTCATATCTCAGAAAATTTCAAAGTTTCATAATTTCATAATTTCGTAATTTCATAATTTGAAGTTTTTCATGATTTCGTAGGTTTATTTCTCACAATTAATTGAAAATCTACTAATCCATTAATTCATTCATGCATTACATCTTCTTTAATTCGTTTTGTAATGATCATTTGGACAATTTATTTTATTGTACTTCAATTTCTTCTTTTTATTGTCTATTTTATTTTTTTTATATTTATTATTTATTAATCATTCATTTTAAGGCCCAGGTGTACTACCTTTCGAATGTTATCTGGATTTTTTTTATCTCTCGTAATTCAAAATTGTCAATTGAGTGGTACATCATGTAGAAATTCCCAAAAATTATGATAGAACGATAAAAAAAATAGAAAAAACTCGGAACTTTTTCAAAGAGCGTTTTTAATTGAGATTCAGAATGAGTTGAAAAAAGGGGAAATTACAAATATCTGATTCGCTGTGGCTAATTATCCATTAGCTGTCATTTTCCATGGTGAACAATAAAACACTAACTCCTCATGGGAAGTGACGGCTAGGTATCTCAATTTTCAAAACAGTGGGATGTAGTCATCTGCCATTTTTATGTGATAAAAGTGTGATTAAAAAATTCTCCAAAATATTACAACTTTTTTCAAAGAGCCTTTTCCGTAATAAATGTCTCTGTGCAGTGTGGGAAAAGATTTACGAAATCAGTCTTCCCCCTGCATGATATTGGGTAACAGGCCGCCATTTGTCACCGTAAATCAGATATATTTTTCAATTTCTTGTTATTCAACTTATTCTGAATATAAATTAAAAATGCTCTTTGAAAAAATTGAGAATTTTTTCTACTTTTTTTATTATTCATTCATAATTTTTGAAAACTTCTGCATGATGCCGGACTTAATTGACAATTTCAGATGACGAAAGATGAAAAAAAAACATCGAGATAACGTTCGAAATATAGTACACCCGTGCCTTAATAAATAATTGATAAATAATTTCATTATTTATTTATTATTATTTATTTTTATTTATTCTATTGCATATCCATCCAGTTTACTTCTGATCAATATTTATTATTACTAATCTTCTCCTTCATTTTCGTATTTTTGAAGAGATGAATAATTGAAAAAAGAAGAAGTTTGGAAATAAAAATGTTTATTTTCTTTACGTCGTGAATTCAACTTCATATAATTCATTTATCGAATAAATTTACTGCTCTGGCAATTCTATAACATCAAAAACGAATTGATATTTAGTTGAAACATTCAAAATATAAAAATTCTCATTTTCTTCTGCTTCTGCTCTACTTAATCATGCCATTTTGATATTTATTATATTTGTGATATTTATTTCTTATTATTACTTGTTAATCTACTCATCTATCAATTCATTCATGTGCCCCAGCTCTGTCAATTTATTTTGTAATTGTTATTTCCTTAATTTTACCTAAAAATTTGTTTATTCACTTCATTTTACTTTAATTCCTTCTCTTCATTTTATATTCATTCAATTCTTATCAACTTTTATTCTCATTATTCCCATCATTATTTACTATTATGCTCATTATTCAGTCTGATATTTTTCCTCTTTCAAGGAATGAATAATTGAAAAAAGAAGAAAATAGTTTGAAAATTAAAATTTTTATTCTCTTTAGCTCATGAATTAAACTTCTCATAATTTATTTATCGAACAAACCCACTGCTTTGACAACTCTATAACCTCAAAAGCGAATTAATATTTAGTTAAAATACTCACAGCATAAGAATTCTCATTTCCTTCTCCTTCTGCTTCAATTTCTTCAATACTGTCAACAGTCCCATGATCTATCCCGAATAAAAATGTGTTCAAACGACAAAAATTCACGATTAATTATTTTTTCTTTATATGGAATCCAGTTCTTTTCTTTCGCCTGTCAACATTTTGGAGTAGACCAACATAACCTGAGTATTTTAGGGGGAATCCTCAATGGAAACGACTGGAAAAACCCACGAAAATTTAAAATTGATGATCAAAATTGAAACTAAACTATTCACTTTTTATTCAAGAGCATTTCAACAACTTTGTTGATAACGTCTGGATGACAAAAGGAATCAGCAACATTTTTTATAGTATTTCGATCGAAATTACTGCAGTCTTGGGTTGAATCATTGTTACATTGTTTTTCTTCTGGAAATCGATCCCTTTGGTGACTCAGGAATATCCTGAACTCTTCGCCACTCAAGTATTTCCCTATTTTCACGAAATCTTCATATTCTCTGGAGAATTCTTCAGCAGTCCAGGGGGTTTTTCTCATTTTTTTGGGAATCATCTCTTCAGGGTCTTCATTTTTTACTTCTTCACAGTCTCTCACACATTTTTCAATCTGAAAGTCGTGAGGTAATTGATTGAAAATTTGTTTAAGAGTTCTTTTAGTGGAAATATGAGGTGAAAGGATTTATTTTGATAATTAATAAGTTTAGGAAAATATTTTCGCGAGACGTTTTTTGTAGAAAATTCAATTTTATACAAAAGGAAGAGAATTGAATTCTCTTGACAATTTCTCAATTTGGAAATTCAATTAAAAAATTGTTCCAGAGATAATTTCCTAGGGAAATGTGAGAGATATTCCAGTCGATGTATCTGACCTGAATAATTACAAATGATCTCGATAATGAGCAATTAAAGAAAAAATAGTCAAGAGAACTTTTTTGTAAACAATGCAATCTTATAAAAAAAATTTTTAAAAATTAAAAAAAAATTGAAAAAAATTGAAAAAACATAAATAAACATCAATAAAAAATAAATATAAATATTGAAGTCTCTTTTATCGAATTCTTTCTACGAATTCCCTCAAAGAAGTACTGAATCCTGAATTAATTAATTCACCATTTAATTTCTTCAGAAAATGAATTAATAACGTAATTTCCATAAACTTTTAAAAAAATATTTACCAATTTCCCGAGATCTCTTAGACTATAAGTCACTTGATCCTTCACAGCAGGAAGACCCTCTCCAATCCTCTCCATAATGAGCTTCACGAGAGCCTCTCTGAGCCTGGCCTGGCAGTCTGATGCCAATGGCAGCCACACATTGACACTAACGCTCAAATCTAAAGACTCAACAAAGTGCCACCAGCCCCTGGGAACTAGCAAAACGTCTCCAGCTTCCAAAACAACCCTCATGGGATTTTTATCGATTTTTCTGAGGGACTCTTCATCCGATATCGAGGGACAGAAGAAGTTCAATCTGCTGTAGATCGTGGACTCCTCGTAGGGAACTCGAGTTTCTTGGAGGACTTTCCCAGAGTCTGGAGGAAACAGGAGCCACAGCTTCCTGAAATGAACGCGATAATATTAAGGGGAGACTACTAAGAGTTTTAAAAGTCGTTTGTTATTGGAGTGAGACTTTCCATACGTTGAAGATCGATTATATAGATCTGAAAACGAATAATTAGTGCAAACAAATTTTTTTTTATTATTCGTTTGCCCGAAAACGCTTCAAATGCTAAAAACAGCCCAGGGCCTCCAATTTTTGAGCTACAAACGATTTTTTTTTTTCATAATTTTCGGAAAAATGTGTGGAACAACAGTTATGAGCCAGTTTTTTGGAATTTGACTCCTATACAGCTGATTTCGGTTTTTTTCATATGAAAAAATTCACTACTTTTGTAAAAAAATACAAAAAATGCAAATTTAGCCATGTAAAAGGCGAATTAAAAAAATTGCTCGTAATTCCACATATTTTTCCGAAAATTTTGAAAAAAGAAATCCTTCGTAGCTCAAAAATTGGAGGCCCTGGACTGTTTTTTGCATTTTAAGCGTTTTCGGGCAAACGAACAATTAAAAAAATTGTTTTTGCACTAATTATTCGTCTTCAGATCTATATAATCGATCTTCAACGTATGAAAAGTCTCACTCCAATAACCCACGACCTTTAAAACTCATAGTAGTCTCCCCTTAAATGAATGAATTATAATGTGAGTAATGAAATCGAATTTTTCACAATTGAATTAAACTAAATGAAATCATAATTATCATTATCTAATTACCTGATATCATTATAATTTCATCTTCATAAAATCAGTAAATGAATGAATGAATAGAAAAATAAACAAGTTAATAATAAAAAGAGCAGTGAATTCAATTTTTGCTCGAATGAATTTCCAAAATTAAGGCCCGGGTGTACTATCGTTCGAACGTTGTCTCGATGTTTTTTTCATCTTTCGTCATCTGAAATTGTCAATTAAGTCCTGCATCGTGCAGAAGTTTTGAAAAATTATGAATGAATAATAAAAAAAACGTAGAAAAAATTATTAATTTTTTCAAAGAGCATTTTTAATTTATATTCAGAATAAGCTGAATAACAAGAAATTGAAAAATATATCTGATTTACGGTGATAAATGGCGGCCTGTCACCCAATATCATGCAGGGGGAAGACTGATTTCGTAAATCTTTTTCCACACTGCACAGAGACATTTATTACGGAAAAGGCTCTTTGAAAAAAGTTGTAATATTTTGGAAAATTTTTTAATCACACTTTTATCACATCAAAATGGCAGATGACTACATCCCACTGTTTTGAAAATTGAGATACCTAGCTGTCACTTCCCATGAGGAATTAGTGTTTTGTTATCCACCACGGAAAATGACAGCTAATAGATAATTAGCCACAGCGAATCAGATATTTGTAATTTCCCCTTTTTTCAACTCATCCTGAATCTCAATTAAAAACGCTCTTTGAAAAAGTTCATAATTTTTTCAATTTTTTTATCATTCTATCATAATTTTTGGTAATTTCTACATGATGTACCACTCAATTGACAATTTCGGATTACGAAAGAGAAAAAAAATCCAGATAACCTTCGAAATATAGTTCACCCGGGCCTTGAAAAGAAAAAAATTTGACATGAAATATTCATCAGATGAAAATTACGAGACGATAAGAATGATGATTACCTCCCATGTATCTGTTTAACTAAATTACAGCCGTAAGAATCCTGATGGCAGTTGGTATGAGCCCCCTTGCTCCCGACCCAGAGGGTCGAGTCCTCTCCAGTCTTGTCGACCCCAAATGGTCTCCAATCGACAGCTGACAAGATCTCTGGTTTCTCCCTGAACCACTCGTGCATGTACTTGTAATCGAAGTAGTACCAGTCTTCAGAATTCTCGGATTTCTGGAGGAACTCATCGATCGTCATGGTTTCCAGGGGGCATTTGAGGTCCCACTGGGGTTCCTGAGGCACCCCGATGATGGATAAACAGTGAAAATCATTCGTAATAAACCGAGGAATTAATTGAAATTAATCAAGTATTGGTAAAAATACATTAATTAGTTGAATTGATTGATTACATCGGTTCTAGAATTTTTTCCAGTCCTGAAGCTCAACGGCATGTCTCCCAAGGCACTTCTCAATTTTCCCAGGCCCAGGAAATCCCATCTGTCTCCTTCTGAATCATTATTTATAATATTTTTGAATACAATGGGCTCTTGCAACTCAAAAATTACTTGTTTCAATAATTCAGGAGTCGGTTTTCTCCTCTCCATTGTCGAAAAATCTCAATTCAATAATTAAGAACTGGAATGAAAATAATTATTGATAATTAATGATTGATTTTTATCCACTGAGCAATTAAGTTAAAAAAAAGTTAAGTTTTAAAAAAGTCTAGTGTCCATTTTACCCCATCCTCCCGTAATAATCCCAACTAAACGTAAACAAACAATTTTGGAGTGACTCGAGACGAAAACAACCGGCAAAAATTCGGAGCAGAAATGTCACCCATGTGAACCCACCCGTATGCTGACGTGTAAGCAGTAAACCACGTGGACACAGACACTCGACACGTCGCACCACTACCACAAACCGTTCGGTACGCGTCGGTAAACACGTAGCTTCCATTTACTCCGAATTTCAGCTCCTGATCAAGGGAGAATCCACGTAGACCCGTCCGTCAGTCGGTTCGTCAAATAGTCAAGTGTCAAGTTGCTCCAGAAGGCAGTGGTTTTCTCCTCGTCGTTGATTAAATTGTTATTAATAAGTTAAAATGGTGAGTTGAGGGTTCAATTGTGCGGGGGAGAGTTGAGGTTAAATGGTTTCCAGATGATCGCGAGGGAAATTGTGGGGATTTTTTTGGAGTTGAAGGGTTTTTTTGGAATTTTGGTGTGAGAACAGGGTTGAATAGTTTTCAATGATTAATATCTTGAGATTGGCAGAGTGGAATTCAAAGATTTTTTCCTCGTTTTGAAGGTATTTTGTCAGACTTCAAAATGAACCTTGACTTATTCAAATCAGATCATTCTGTCAGGAGATAGTGGTGATTCAAGAAGGAGATTTTTTTGGGTTTTTGCTTTGGGGAGAGGGGTAAAATGAGTAGTTTTTAAGAATCAATCATTTGAGATTGGCAGAGTGAAATCCACAGAGTTTTCTTGCGTTTTGAAGGTATTTTGTCAGACTTCAAAATGAACCTTGACTCATTCAAATCAGATCATTCTGTCAGGAGATAGTGATGATTCAAGAAGGAGATTTTTTTGGGTTTTTGCTTTGGGGAGAGTGGGCCAAAATTAGTAGTTTTTAAGAATCAATAATTTGAGATTGGCAGAGTGAAATCCACAGAGTTTTCTTGCGTTTTGATGGTATTTTGTCAGGCTTCAAAATAAGCCCTATTTCGTTCAAATCAGATCATTCTGTCAGGAGATATTGATGATTCAAGACGGAGAATTTTTTTGTGGTTTTTGTCTCCAGGGAGAAGAGAGTGAAATCAGTAGTTTTTAATCATCAATAGTTAACAATCGGCAGAGTGAAATCCAAAGAGTGTTCTCTCATTTTGAAGCCTGATAGAATACCTTTAAAATAATCCCTGATTCAGTCAAATCAGATGATTCACTCAGGAAATATTTACGATTTGAGATGAACTTTTTTTTGGTTTTTGTCTCTGGGGAGAATAGGGTCAAATGAAGTTTTTAATCATCAATAGCTAGTGGTCGGCAGAGTAAAATGCAAGAATTTCAATTTCATCTTAGAGATGTTTCTTTAAACTTTAAAGTGAGGCCTGATTTATGTGAATCGCTTCATTTAGTCAGGAGATAATCATGATTTTAACGGGCTAAATGAAAAACGTTTTTTAGGGGAATTTGGGATTGTTGACCACAATTTCCTAGTTATAATTATGTAATTATTTCCAGAGTCTGTTGTCTAGAGGAACATGTTAGGATATCCTCTTTACAGAAGTGAAACTTCCTCAGAAAAGAAAAACTCTTAGTTTTAATTAAGGATCAATAATAAGTGAGGATTAGTCAGGAATTCGTATGAATATCTATAATTTTTTTTACTTTGAGAGGTTGTAATCGTCCAATTATCTCGAGAAGAAGTAATTTTAGAGGGAAATGTCAGAAAACATTTTTTAAGAGGACAAAATTTCCTACAAAAAAGTTCTAATGAGATTTTATCGTAGAGTCAATGGTTTTGATGATATTTGAGGATTAATAAAAAATTGTTCTCCGAAAGAATTTGCTCCTTGCAGTTATGGAATTGGTTTCAGGTTTAATTGGAACAATTTTGGAGTTTCAAATAACTTTTACTTTTTCCTTCAACAGCCGGCAGCTCCAAGCGCGACGTCAGTAGGCTCGGGGGGAAAATCTCCGAGTCGTGCTGTTGCTGCACCCCGGACCAGTGGCTCTGGAACTGTCAGACAGAGAAAAACAACAGTTGCAACATCCGCTAGGAATAGGAACACTGGAACCAGCTCTGGGGGCATGTGGAGATTCTACACTGATGACTCACCTGGAATTAAAGTGTAAGAATATTTTTTTCTGAAATTTTTCTTGTTCATTCACACAAAAATCTGATTTGGACAAGAAAAATAATTTGTTTATGAATTAAAAGTGCAATAATTCCCATAATGTTTTTTAAGGTTGAAGTGTAAATATTTTTCTACATTTCTAACATTTTTTCTGATCATTTTTAAAAGAATCTTTAAATTTTTACGATCGAAATTGAAGAATTGCAAAGAAGAGGAGTTGATGCACTAAATTTTATTACAAAATTGAAATTTAACATGCTTTTATAATGTTTATGCACTTCTAATATTTTTTTGATGGAAATAGGATCATTGGCATCAACTAAAATTTATACAATTATTTTAAAATCAAATTTCAATATTTTTATAACAAACTTCGGTTTTTATTCATGGAAAAAATGAATAATCACCCTTTTTTAATTAATTAAATTAATGAATTATGAATTAAAAAATGCCATATTCACATAATTTTTCTAGAATTGAAGTGTCAAATCTTTCTAGTAGATTTCTAAGACTTTTTCTCATGATTTTCAAGAGAAGATTCAAGTTTTTACGATTGAAAAGGAAAAATTGCAGCGAAAACAAGGACTTAGTGCCCTTCATTACCAAAAAATTGAAGTTTAACATCTTTTTGATCATTTTTATTCACTTCGAACAGTTTTTAATAGAAATAGTATCATTATCTCGTCAACCAGAATTTATAAAATTATTTTAAAATCCAAATTTCAACGTTTTTATAATAACAATCACCCACTTTCAATAAAAGAATCAATCAACTGCTTCATTTAAACTGCAGATTCCAGGGAAATGTCGATGTTCAAGAGATTTCTTTTTATCAATTCAACTCTTTCAGAAAAATAATTTTTTAATGAATTAAAAAATGCAATAATTCACATAACTTTACTAGAATTGAAGTTTAACATTTTTTTTTTTATAATTTTTATTCACTTCTAATAGTTTTCCATAAAAACAGCATCAGTATCTCGTGAACCAGAATTTATACGATTATTTAAAAAACCCAAATTCCAACATTCTTTGAGTGAAATTCAGTTTCTAATCATGAAAATACTAAATAAACATTTAATTTTATTGAAAAAAATCAAACAATTCACTTAGACTCCAAATTCCATGAAAATATCGACGTTCAACGGTTTTTTTTATCAATTTAATTTTTAAACAAAAATAATTTGTTGAATTAAAAATACAATAATTCCCATAATTCTTCTAGAACAGCAGTTAATATTTTTTCATAGAAATAATATCATCATCTCATCACGCAGGATTTATAAAATGATGTAAAACCCAATTTCCACATTTCACCCGCAAAATTTGGTTTTTATTCATGAGAAAAATGAATAGTCACCCATTTTTAACGAAAAAACTCAATTAACTGCTTCATTTGAAGTCCAGACTTCACCGTAAAAAACATCTCCAAGGAAATCTTTCAAATTAACTTATCCATCAATTAATTAATTAATTAATTAAAGGAACTAATCGATTAATTAATTTTGTCTATTTGCAGTGGACCAGTTCCAGTTCTCGTAATGTCCCTCCTCTTCATCGCATCTGTATTCATGCTCCACATCTGGGGAAAATACACGAGATCCTAAACAACCAAAGCTCCAACAAATAAACAAACACTGAAGACTGTGTGACGTTTAATCTCCAGCATTCTGCACCGAGTGCAGTAAATCATCAAGAGAAATCCACGATTCCTCAATTATCGGAGTAAATCCCTGCATTTATTTCCATCAATCAGCCATCAGTGAAGATCGTGGTGTTCCATTGCAGATCTACAGATTTATTTAAATTGAATTAAGTTAATTAACTATTCACTCTCAAACGTAAAACTCAATCAACATTTTGATATGTCATTTGAACTGTATAATTTGATAATAAATCAATGATTCTGTTATTTTTGGTGAGAAAGTCTTTATTGATCAATGACACTCATACACGTATCTCTGTAATCATCAAGAATATAATCAAGTAATTAATATTACTTAATAGTAAGCTCAAACGGTCGATAGCAATTCATTAATTATGATTTTATCCAGTAGCCGAGTGGTGAAAGAGAAAATTACTTTCAGATTATTGAGGATAGCTTGGGGGTTCAGAGAACATTCCTTGACATTCTCTCGTAGAATTGAGAATTATGAATTCATCCAGTGATTAATTAATACTTCGGAGACTTTATTGTTGATTATTCCGGTGATGAGAGAATTCGGGAGAAATTATGAAGACGAATTTTTACAGTTTATGACGTTGTGCGAAGCATATTTTCTTTAATGATCAGGGAATTGATTAAGATTCAGAGAAATTGATTGAATTAATGTTTTAGTAGTTGTTAATTAACTCAGAAATTAGAGGATTTTTGTAGTTTATGAAATTCCACTACTAAAATGTCTTTCGACGTTTGCGTTTTGAATTTATTATTAATGAGGTAATGACAAAATTAATGAGAATTTAGATGTACTGATTGGATGAATCATTCAGAAATTGTTAATTGTCTTGGCAATGAGGGGAGAAAATTTAATGGCTTAGGGAATTCTCTACATGAAATAACTCTTGATATTTTCTAAAAAGAAATCAGGAATTGCAGAGAAAATCACAAAGTCAATGAAAATTCAGAGAAATTGATTGAATTAATGTTTTGGTAATTGTTAATCAACTCAGAAATGAGAGAATTTAGGAAGGATTTAGGATTATCAGAAGGCATTTTAGTAGTTTATGAAATTCTACTACTAAAATATCTTTCGACGTTTGCGTTTTGAATTTATTATTAATGAGGTAATGACAAAATTAATGAGAATTCAGAGGTACTGATTGGATGAATCATTCAGAAATTGTTAATTGTCTTGACAATGAGGGGAGAAAATTTAATGGCTTAGGGAATTCTCTACATGGAATATCTCTTGATATTTTCTAAAAAAAAAATCAGGAATTGCAGAGAAAATCACGAAATCAATGAAAATTCAGACAAGTTGATTGAATTAATGTTTTGGTAATTGTTAATCAACTCAGAAATGAGAGAATTCAGGAAGGATTTAGGATTATCAGAAGGCATTTTTGTAGTTTATGAAATCCCACTACTAAAATGTCTTTCGACGTTTGCGTTTTGAATTTATTATTAATGAGGTAATGACAAAATTAATGAGAATTCAGAAGTACTGATCAGATAAATCATTCTGAAATTGTTAATTAACTTAACAATGAGGGGAGGAAAAATTTTTGTAGCTTAAAAAATTCTCTGCATTAAATCTCTCTTGAGAGTTTCTAAAAAAAAATCAGTAATTGAAGTGAAAACCACGAATTCAAGAAAAATTCAGAGAAATTGATTAAATTCATGTTTCATTAATTGGTAATTAGCTCCGAGATTAGAGGATCTAGAAATGATTATCAGAAGGCATTTTTGTAGTTTATGAAATTTACTACTAAAATGTCTTTTGAGATTTTCTCTTCAAATTGATTATCAATGAGATAATGACGGCATTAATGAGAATCCGGAGATACTGCTTAGATGAATCATTCAGAAATTGTTAATTATCTTAACAATGAGGGGAGGAGAAAATTTCATAGCTTAGGAAATTCTCTACACAATATATCTCTTGATATTTTGTCAAAAAAATTGATGATTATAGAAATAATCAGGAAATGACTGGAAATTGAGAGAAATTGATTGAATTAATGTTTCAGCAATTGTTCATCAACTCAGAAATTAGGGGATTTAGGAAGAATCATCAAAAGGCATTTTTTAGTTTATGAAATTCACTACTAAAATGTCTATTTACATTTTCTCGTTAAATCGATTATCAATGAGATCATGAATTAATTTATGAGAAATTTTCGTAACTGAGGACATTCTCTTCACAAACTGTCTTAAAATTTTCTTTTCAGATCGATTATTAACTATATAATCACGCAATTAATAAAAAATTCACTAAAATTCATGAAATTTGCCCTTCATTCTTAATCAATCATCTTCATAATGAAAATTGCTAAGAAGAATTGCCAAAAAAAAATCTTTTCAGCACGAGAAATCCCCTCAAAAAAGTACTGAGGAATATTTCAAGAAATGTCTCGTATTTTCCCAAAGCCCACACTATCTCTAGAATCTAAATCCTAGACATTCCGGAAATAATCTGCCCAAGATGATCGACATTTCACCACATTGCTACAAAACTCTCATGAGCATGAAAATAATCACATTGAAGTGGAAATTGTCGTAGACATATTCAGTGGGATATCCAGCGAATAATATTCAATACTTACATACGCAAACGAAAGGATAATTGAGAAATAAAAATTTACATTGAATACTTAAACCGAAAAACCCATCAAGACAGGTTTGAGTGAAAACGAAGTAGAGTTCGTTTCCATAGGTGAGCAGGAGGGGATTTCATAATTATTCTTCATAAGCCCAGGGGAATTCTCTAGATCTCGCAATCTCCATTAATTGAACCCTCACATTCATTAGTTTACGATATTCCTAGAAAACAAATCGAATATTTGATGAAAAAACGTGAATTCTGTTGATATTTCTCTCCATAAACCCTGGAGTATCTTTGAAACTAGTTGATTCATCAAAAGTTGTCTTCAGAATTTTTTTAACCCCTCGAAATTCTCCACAAAAATCGGTTCTAAACTTGACCTTCAAACCCCCTAGTTCCCAGATATTCCCAAAAAACTGAAACTATTCGCCCAAAAAGAATTTCGTCGTATGTTTTCATCAGAAAATCTCCAATAACCCTCCAAATTCCCCCTGGCCGCTCCCCCTACCAAGATATTCCTCTAGCCCCCCTGTACCCCCCCTATAGTTTTTAATCTCATAGGTGAGCAGGAGAGGATTTCATAATTATCCTTCATAAACCCGGGGAATTCTCTAGATCTCTCCATCTTCATTAATTAACCCTCACATTCATTAGTTTACGAGATATTCCTAGAAAACAAATTGAATATTTGATGAAAAAACGTAAATTATATTGATATTGCTCTCCATAAACCCTCGAGTACCTCGGAAACTAGTCGATTCATCAAAAATTCCCTTGAGACCTTTTCAAATCCCTCGAGATTCTCCACAAAAACCTCTTTTGAAATTGACCTTGAAACCCCCTAGTCCCCTAGACACTCCCAAAAAATCCAAAACTATTCATCCAAAAAGAATCTCTCGGATTTGTCCATCAGAAAATCGCCAATGCATCCGAACCCAATCCATTCATCAAAAAATCCTGAAATTCCCCCTGGCCCCTCCCCCTACCAGTTTTTTTTATCTCATAGGTGAAATCTATCCTTCATAAATCCATCCACCCTTCATAAATCTAGGGGAATTCTCTAGACCTCTCAAACTCCCTCAATCGCACCCTCCCATCCACTAGTTTCCGAGATATTCCCAGGAAACAAATCGAATATTTCATGAAAAACCGCAAATTATTCGATTCATCAAAAGTTCCCTTCAGAGCTTTTCAAACCCTTGAAATTCTCCCCAAAAACCTCTTTCGAAATGGCCATCAAACCCCCTAATCCCCTAATTTCATCGTATATTGCCATCAGAAAATCTCCAAAATCTCCAAACCCCATCAAGTTATCAAGCAATCCTCAATCCTCCTAGCCCCCCTTCCAAGAAATCCCCTAGCCCCCAGAATCCCCCTATAATTCCTTATCGCCCGTCATTAAAACCGCTGAAGCCCCTTCCGGAGAATCCCCCAGAGAACGAAGTAGTTCTCTGTGTCCAGGGCTGCCCCCCCTGAGCCCCCTGCCCCTGGCTCCATCTCTGTCCGCCCCCTGCCCCCCCTGACATAGTCCAGATTCCAGAATTACCTCCCCCCTGCCACCTATCTTTGCTCCCCCCATCGTCCCAGGGGTCTCTAGCATCCTCTGGCAGATCATTCCAGTCCTCCTTACTCCCTTCCCACATCTTCCCACCCCCTCCACTCGAGAACCCCTCCTTTCCCCTACTCGACCAGATACTGTCACTGGGGGGCCCTCCCCCCCCACTCCACCTATTTTCACTCAAACTCTGTTTGGCAATCCAATTGTCGTCGACCCTAGCTGCAGGACCAGATGCCAGACCCCTGTCTAGGGGACCCCTATCTAGGAGCCCCCTGTCTAGAGCCCCTCTCTCTAGGGGCCCTCTGTCGAGAGCCCCTCTCTCTAGGGCCCCCCTGTCCAGAGCACCCCTGTCTAGAGGCCCCCTGTCTAGAGCCCCCCTCTCCAGGGGTCCCCTATCTAGGAGACCCCTGTCTAAAACCGCCCTCTCCAGGGCCCCCCTGTCTAGAGAGCCCCTCTCTAGGAGAACTCTATCTAGAGAACCTCTCTCAAGAAGCCCTCTCTCTAGAGCCCCCCTATCTAGGGGACCCCTATCAAGAGACCCCCTATCTAGAGGCCCAGCCCTTCCGACATCACTTCCCGATTGAAAACTCCAGCTGGAATTCGCCTGTCTCTCCCCCTGTCTCTCATTCTGCCTCTGCCAGTTGCTCTGCTGTTCCACAGCACCCCTAGTCGGTATATCCCAGTCATCGCCAAACATCGGAGTCACTGTTGTTGCCAGTTGCCTTCTAGGGGGCGATGCTTGCCTCCTAGGGGGCGATAACCCCCTCCTAGGGGGCGACAAACCCCTCCTCGGGGGGGACAAGCCCCTCCTTGGTGACAACTGTCTCCTCACGACCTCGATCTGTTCAATCGTCGTCGACCTCCTCTGACCCTCAAACTCCCGCCTAGGGGGGCTCAACTGCCTTCTAGGGGGCGACAGAGCCCTCATGGGGGGGCTCAACTGTCTGCGTGGTGAGGTCCTCCTCATCGGTGGCTCCTGAGGCCTCGGTGAACTCCTCCTCCTCACCCCAGGCGAATAATGTCTTCGCGGGGGGCTCAGCCCCCTTCTGGGACTCAGAGCCCTCCTAGGGGGGCTTGGCCCCCTCCGGGGGCTCAACCCTCTTCTGGGGGAGCTCCCTCGCCTCGGTGACACTCGATCAGACCTCTTCGGGGATCTCCCCCTGACTCCAGCCCCCCACTTATCTCCAGCCCTGTCGTAGGGCTTCTCCCTTCTATCTCTCTCCCCTCCACTCTTCCTGTCCCTCACAGCGGAGTAACCAGTTGGCATCAGCTGATTGGGACTCGCTGGGGGTATATTATCGTATCTCCTCGATGCCGAGTCATTGAACTTAGCATTTGGCGTCGTAATGACGATGTCCTGGCCCCCTCTGCCCTCCACAAAACTCCCCTTCAATGGTACGTCATTGTGGGAGCGATTGAGGGGGGCCGAGCCCTCCGGTGGTGCTATTCTGTCCCAAACCGATCGTGGCAGCTGATTCTGCATGTTACTCGTCTGCTCAAGCGCCAGATTGAGAATCTCCTGGAGTTGACGAGCTGTTGATGGATCAACACTCGACGCCAATTTCTGCTTTGCTGCTTCCAGAATTCTCTGCTGCTCCCTCACCTGCTGCGCCAAATCTGGCTCCGAGCGATTGTGATTCAGCCGGGATCTCAGGTCGTTGGGATCAGTTATAGAGGGGCGTATCTGCTTAGCCGGGACCGATATCTTGAAGGACTCGCACTCGCCGTGACCTCTCTTCAGGGGTTTCTTCAGAATTGATTTTGATGGGCGAGAGGGACGGGGGGGAGGGGGATTTTTCGAGTGCGAGGACTTGTGGGAGGGCTTGGGGGAGGTCTTGTCGTGGAAGGGATTCTTCACGAGGGTCTTGTCGGGCAGGGAACGACGAGGGGGTTGACGTTTTGCTGAAGTGCCCCCTTTGGAGGTAGAAGTCGTCTTCGGAGTTGTGGATTTCTGGGTTGGCCGGGAGGTCTCGGCCTTCGAGGGTGATCTCTGGGGCTTTTCGGCCTTTGAGTTGTTGGAGATGGGCTTCGGGTGGATCAGCGATGACGCCGGTCGACGCTCCATCAAAATGGCGACCTCGAAGTGCTGACCCGTTGGTAGTGTGTCCACTACGACTGCTTTTATGGGGACGAAGGGCCGGCCCAGGGCTGGAACCGAGGGATTTATCAGCTCCAGGATTGAGCGGATTGACTGCTTGGCAAGAGTTGTCACCATCACCACTCGACGGAGTGTGGGAATCTTACGCAGGCCCCAGATCACGTCGATCTTGCGGGCCACTGATGTGTTGGCGTTTATCACTGCGTAGGTCTTTCGATTTCCCACGGACTTGGCCAACTTTGACATGGATTCGGGGGAATCCCCCATTATGAAGGTGGCGTTCTTTATTTTGTTCAGGTCGCACGTCATCTCGGCCTCTTCCACTTCTGATTGCGAGTCCAGACCGATGACTTTTTCACATTTCTGAAAGGTGGGGGTATTAGTAGGGGGTTTGAAGGGGTGGGGGCAGAGCTGGGGACTTTTTTTTTAAATGGAAATTGAGATTTTTTTAATTCAGTTACGAAGTGGTGGGTTTTTTATGAATAAGATTCGGTTTTTAGGGAATATCTCGGAAGCTGGGGCGGATAGCAAAATTTTTGTTATAACCTTTTTTGGAGAGCTGATTGAGAGCTACCAAAAATGTCATTACGAAAATTTCGGTATCTGCATTAGATTCGGAGATATTACTCAGCGAAGAGCTAAGTTGACTTCAATAGTTTTAACGCTTCATTACTGAATTAAAATTTTTATTTTTTAATTGAATTCAATTTTTCCATTTTTAATTGTGAAATAATTGTATTTGAAATTGTCTTTTAGGGGTTGTTAAACGCGAAAATGATATAGTGCTTTGGATTTCATTTTAATTTTCGATTGGTTTGTGAATGTGAAATCGAAATGTTGAATATTTATGGTGAAAATTCAGTTGTTTCTCGATAAAACCCAAAATATGGGCAGAATCGTTAAATTTATAGAAAAATATTTCCAGTTTTTATTAGAGCACTTGGAATTCTTTACAGATAATTCTCTCAGATTATCTATTTTATTTTACTTTCTGGGTATTTCGAGAAATATGGAATAGAAATATTTGTTATTCACAGAAAAAATTGAAATCTCTCTCGATAAAACCAAAATATCTCCAAAAACAATAAATTCATGGAAAATGGCTTCATCTTTTTTTAGCCCTTAAAATTCTTCGCAAAAAATTCTCTAATATCTTCTATTTGATTTTTCTAACACATTATTTCGAGAAGTGTGAGGTGTAAATATTTGTTCATCAAATAAAATTCAATCCTCTCTCGATAAACCCCTAAATATTTCCAAAACCAATGAATTTATAGAAAATTTCTTCAGAATTATTACTTCTCAAAAAATTCTCTTAAATTTCCCATTAAATATTACCATTCAATTGGTTTAATGAACATAAAATTATAAGTATTTCTCTGAATCCAACTAATTTAACACTATTTCATTTGCAATATTTCATCAATTAAAAATAGAAATCATTTCAAATAGATTTTTTCTCATAAATAAATTGTTAAATATTATTCCATCTGTCATGTTCGATGATTCAGGAATATCAATGAGTTCTGAATATTCGAATAAGTAACCAAAATAGTATTCACCCAGCTCTGATCGTGAAGTGGTAAAACAGAGGGATTTCAAAGAAAATTTCAACAAAAAATCTTCTCCATCTTCACCACTTCACACTAGGACAATTAAAATCCATGAATTACCGAAGCTAGCATCAGGCAGATGAGCCCCAGCCCACACCCAACCTCGATAACAGTAGTCTCTGGCGATGGATCCAGCAGATCTCTCACTGCTTTTCCCAGCTGTTCAGCTCCAGTAGTATTCGACCAAAAATTTGTTTTCGGTGCTAACTGAATCTTCAAGTCTCCGACTGTTTCGTCGAGTGCCTCAGCACCGGAGAGGAAAATTGTCTGGGTGACAACTGCACCATCGATTCTAAAAAGATGATTTATAAGTCAACAGTCGACGTGAAGAGTTCGAATAATTTTTTTTAGTGAAGTCAAAACTCGATGAATATTTCTACGAATATTTCTTCATTCAATTTTCCCTCAAGTCCATTAGGTTTGAACGTATTTGGTGAATAATTTACATAAAATTTTGTCAGCTGACATTTTTTAAAATTCCAATTTATTTCTTAAGGGACGGTTCATCCGGAGAAAATACTTTTTCGTTTTTCAAGAAGAAAAAGAATTGAAAATATTATTAATACCTCAAGAAATAAAAAGTTCCTACCCAAATATTATGCATAAACTTTATTTATTAATGCTAATTCTATGTTTGGTGGTCCTCATATATGTACCTAGTCTTTTATTACTCTACAGTTGAGCACTTTCTCCCTAAAATTCGAATAGTTTCATTTTTTTCTACGGTATCTGTTTATTTTCCATTCATTTTTGGAAATTCAGTCATTCTGTTTGATAATCGATCCATTGAAAATGACTTTTCATAATTAAGAAATGAAAATTTGTGATCATATTCAAAAAACTATTTTTTTAAAATACGTTGGAGATTTTCCTGGACTTCATTTTTCTATTAAAAAAATTTTAATCTCTAATTTTTAGCGGTTGAAGATAAATTCGACCTATAAAATCGGATTCCTCAGGAAAAATCATGCGGAAAATACTATTTTTGAATTTTTTTTCTGGAAAAACAAAAAAAAATTCCCTCAGGGTGAACCTCACGGAATGATTTAGACAAAAATTTGAAATACATCTCTTTCTGCTAAAACGGTTTTCAAAAATAATTCCCTCACTATTTTCGCCTAAAAATACTATTTTTGAAATTTTTTTCCTGGAAAAACAAAAAAAACATTTCTCGTGATGAACCTCCGCTTAAATATCTTCCAAAGGGAGTGATTTAGACAAAAGATTTTAATTAATTTTAAATGAATAAATTCTGAATAAAATTTGAAATAGTTTATTCCTCAAACATAAAATAAATTTTCTGCCAAAAGTGTTCCCAAAGAAAAATCCCTCACAATTTTCTCCTAAACCCTCTCACCCTCAAGTTAACTCCCCAATGAATAAAAATTTCCAACCCAAACAATTTCAACTTCACTAAAAATCACCAATTCTCTCTCCATAATTTCCAAAAAACTTACTTTGAAGTAGTCTTGCAGTAAAGTGATTTAACTTTGCACTCCCTCCCCTCTCCACTCTCGAAAATCCCCTTGAGCTCCTCCATCCTACTCTGAGATATCTCTTTTCCCGTAGCAAAGAGCATGAGTTCATCATTGCTATTGCTACGTACAAGCAGCCACAGCCACGTCTCCCTTCCATCAAAACTCTCTTTATCATCATCTCCCGTTGATTTTTTATCATCTTCATTTGTTGTCTCGGTGTTGATGAAGTCCTCAAATATCTGCATGGATAATCGTAATTATACCTAATGACCTCACGCCATCAACTAACTTCACTCTTTTCATTTACCAACAAAACTGCACTTTAAACAATTTAAAAATACCAAACAATCAATAAATAAATCGACAGAATAATCTACTGAAGTAAAATTAATCTCATGAGGTTGATTTCCTAACGATTTTCCTCGATTTATTAATTGACTGTCAATTTATTCCTCCACAGGAGTGAATAAAATTCATAAAACTCTCACTTTACGCTTTTGTTCAATTAAATTTTTGAATTTCATCAATGATATTCATCATTCAGTGATCAGATGAAGTGATCGTCCAGGGACAGATGGAAATCGATGAATTTTTTTAATTAAAAATCATTTTATCCTGCAATATCGTTTTTCAGTTGCACATTTCCTCTCCTGAAGGCAATAATACTCGTACCAACATCCTCCATAAAACGGAAACGACCAAAATTAATACTTTAAGTACTAAAAATGGTTTAAATTCCACTTTTTTCAGTGAATAATAATCACTCAATTATCCTGCTGATTACTGCTGCTTCCTCTCCCAAAAAAACAATCAAGTTTTTCGGAGACCAATCAATCAATTACTGAATAAATTGAAATGATTTCTTCATCTCCTGGATTTTAATCGGACTCACATCCAATTAAATTATTTCCACTCCATTTAATTATCTCCATTATCCATTAATCTGATTTTCATTCTCTTGTCCCATCTGTCCCCTTTATTTAATTGTGAAATTCTCATTGTTCTGCATTGCTGTGAAATTATGTATTTTTTTCATTTATAATTTATAAAATGAAATTGTACCTTAACAGCATGCATAACAAATGGTGGATTGGTTTGCAATGCATTGGCATTGGAAATCGAATCACCAGATGGTGCCAATCGCCATACTGTTTTAACAATCTTGGTAACAGTATTGTCATCCTTGTTCTCCTCCTTCGTATCGCCTGTTTCCTCGAGAGGCTTTCTAGTGCCTAAACATTCGGGATTACATTTTATAATAATTCGATAATTCACATTATTTGACGCAAAATAAATTCAATCGCTCGCAAATTATTCAATTATTAACGTAAATGAAGGAAATTACTCTGATGCTTCAAGAAAATTCGCAGCTCATTCGTATTTTTTTGAAACATTCTGATTAAAACGCTTTTGTCACTCGGTTTTTCGAGCTGAATAAAAATATTGGTGGAGGTGACTTACGGGAATGTTAGTGGAAAAATTGGGGAAATTATTGACTCACATATGAACTTCCAACGATTGGTGTGGGGTCTGTCCAGGGGACATCGACGAGGGGGATCTAGTTTACATACTGCTGTTGAATTTTTCTTTGCTTGCTGTTGGAGGTACTCTTTGTAGCAGGGGTAGGAGAACTCGAGGACTCGGGCGAGCTTCGCCAGCCTGTCTTTTACGGTTTCAACCTTGGTGTTGAGCTGAAAATGAGATTTGAGGATTAAATTTGGAGGAAGAGGGAAAAAATATCTTGTAATAATATTTTTCGGAATTCCTCCGTTTTTGTGAGATGAATTATCAATTGGGTTCCTTTTATTTATTAAATTACTCTTGTTTTTTTAATAATTTCATTAAGGGGAGACTACTATGAGTTTTAAAAGTCGTGGGTTGTTGAAGTGAGACTTTTCATACGTTGAAGATCGATTATATAGATCTGAAAACGAATAATTAGTGCAAAAAAATTTTTTTTTATTGTTCGTTTGCCCGAAAACGCTTAAAATGATAAAAACAGTCCAGCGCCTCCAATTTTTGAGCTACAAAAGATTTTTTTTTCAAAATTTTTGATAAAATGTGTGGAACAACAATTACGAGCCAGTTTTTTGGAATTCGACTCCTACACAGCTGATTACGGTTTTTTTCATATAAAAAAATTCACTATTTGTGTAAAAAAATACTAAAAAGAAAATTTAGCCATGTAAGAGGCGCATTAAAAAAAACTAGCTCGTAATTGTTACTTCACATATTTTTCCGAAAATTAAAAAAAAAACGCTGGAGCACTGTCAGCTGCCAACGCTGAGCCAATGTTGACTTTCAAGGTTGAGGCAATGTTGCTTGTCTCCATTGAGACAGTGAATATCTCGAAATCTAAGGGAGATAGTGAAATGTTTGTCAGAACCTTTTTTGTAGAGCGAATTAAGGGCTACAAAAAAGGTTCTGACGACAATTTCGTTATCTCCCTTAGATTCGGAGATATTCCTCGAAAACTCAGGCAAGGGCCACCTCGACTTGAACAATTTTACCACTTCGCTACTGGAATTTTAACTTTGAAGCAGTGTTGGCTTCCAACGATGGATCAATGTTAGTTGCCAATGTTGGCTATAAACGTTGGAGCACTGTCAGTTGCCAACACTGAGCCAATGTTGACTTTCAACGTTGAGGCAATCTTGCTTGTCTCCATTAAGACAGTGAATATCTCGAAATCTAAGAGAGATAGCAAAATTTTTCTCAGAACCTTTTTTGTAGCGCGAATTGAGGGCTGCAAAAAAGGTTCTCACGATAATTTTGTTGTCTCCCTTAGATTCGGAGATATTCCCCGAAAACTCACCTAAGGACCAATTCGACTTGAACAATTTTACCATTTCGCTACTGAATTTCACTCACTTTCTCCTCATACCACTGATGCTCTGGATCGACCACCTTCTCCTCCTCCATTTTCTCAGGTTTCACCTCCTTCCCATCGTCATCACCTGCCTCACTGATGGCAGGGTCATCAGATTTATCCGGCTCGAGGAGAATAACGTCAGGACAATCATCTGAACCGTCAGGCGGCTTGTCCTCATCGTCCTTCGAGGGGCTGTCCTCCTCGTTGGGCTCCAGACCGAAGCTCTTGGCGTCGAGCACAATGTTCTCAATCTCAGTCAAGTGCTCCATAACATCTTGATCGTTCAGCTGATCTAGGCCAAGGTCAGTGGTGAAGTCTATGTCCTCACCGTCTGCAGTCTCCATGTTCGAGTCGTTCTTGTCCGGTTTCAGGGGGCTCTCATCGCTCGGGGGAGTGTCCTCTTCCCCCAGACACTCGTCCAACACCTGGAAGTCCTCCACTTCGAAGGATATCGCTTCTGAATCGTCTGGAGAGCAGAAAGCATGAACTATTTGACTACAGAATAGAATACTGAATTGTTTTTCGATAAATAAATATTATATAAAATTATATAAAAATCTCTATCTCTATTAAACTCAGGTACCAGTCTATTATGTTGAATACTTATTCATATTGATTCATGCTCCCGACTAACTTCTGACAGAACCTGGGTTAAACTCTGTCTAAATCCTGAATAAACCCCGATTAAATCCCGGCTATACACTGATTAAACCTTGATTGAACCTCGATTAAACCCGGACTGAAAACGAATTCGAGTCTTCAGAGGGTCTGAATGCAGAATCATTTTCCAGAACAAAATAATACGCAAAACTTTGATGCCCTTCAACTGACGATAGTACTCCGACATGAAAAAATAGAAGAAGAGAATAGTGAAATAAGAATTTAAAAAAGAGAAGCCATTCCGAAGCAAATTGCTAATTTATTAGCAACAATAACTACACATTTGGCTACAGAATAGAATACTGAATTGTTTTTCGAGAAATAAATATTATATAAAATTATATAAAAATCTCTATCTCTATTAAACTCAGGTACCAGTCTATTATGTTGAATACTTATTCATATTGATTCATGCTCCCGACTAACTTCTGACAGAACCTGGGTTAAACTCTGTCTAAATCCTGAATAAACCCCGATTAAATCCCGGCTATACACTGATTAAACCTTGATTGAACCTCGATTAAACCCGGACTGAAAACGAATTCGAGTCTTCAGAGGGTCTGAATGCAGAATCATTTTCCAGAACAAAATAATACGCAAAACTTTGATGCCCTTCAACTGACGATAGTACTCCGACATGAAAAAATAGAAGAAGAGAATAGTGAAATAAGAATTTAAAAAAGAGAAGCCATTCCGAAGCAAATTGCTAATTTATTAGCAACAATAACTACACATTTGGCTACAGAATAGAATACTGAATTGTTTTTCGAGAAATAAATATTATATAAAATTATATAAAAATCTCTATCTCTATTAAACTCAGGTACCAGTCTATTATGTTGAATACTTATTCATATTCATTCATGCTCCCGACTAACTTCTGACAGAACCTGGGTTAAACTCTGTCTAAATCCTGAATAAACCCCGATTAAATCCCGGCTATACACTGATTAAACCTTGATTGAACCTCGATTAAACCCGGACTGAAAACGAATTCGAGTCTTGAGAGGGTCTGAATGCAGAATCATTTTCCAGAACAAAATAATACGCAAAACTTTGATGCCCTTCAACTGATGATAGTACTCCGACATGAAAAAATAGAAGAAGAGAATAGTGAAATAAGAATTTAAAAAAGAGAAGCCATTCCGAAGCAAATTGCTAATTTATTAGCAACAATAACTACACTCATTTATCCAAAAATGCAATTATCCACATATTTGTTATCCCAAATATCCCCCGAAAACCCCAAAAAATTGTCCAGATCATCATCATCATCAAATCAGCAGCGAACTGCTAAAGCGGTGCAAGTCAATTTCGACTATCGACCAGTTTTCAATGAATATCTCGGAGCCTAAGGGAGATAGCAAAATTTTTGTTATAACCTTTTTTATAGAGCCGACTGAGTGCTACAACAATTGTGATTACAAAAATTTCGCTATCTCCCTTAGATTCGGAAATATTCGCCAAAAACTCAGCTGGGAGATGAGTCGACTTGAACCGTTTTACCACTTCGCTTCTGAAATTCTTGATTCACCCCATGGGACTTCCAGCTGTGCCAAGCGCCCACCCCCC